TACAATTGAGAAAATTGAATTCGTGAAAGCAGGGTAACAAGAATACATGCTACTGATCCCTGTTCGTCACCCACCGGCGCTCTCCTCGTGCCCCCCCATTGAAGACTGCAAGTTATCCCCAATCTCTGCACGGGTACATATTATATGGAATAACAATCGTAGGGAGGGCGGCGGTATGTACTCGAGTACGGTGCTCCGGTAAGTTAGATCTCACACTACGGGCCTTTTTTGATAGATATCGTAGATAAAGTGCGTTGTAACGTGTAGGCGTGGGGGAGGAGGCCAAGATTCATTCGCCCAAACTTAATACCAGTTACAGGTTTCACCTCGCTATAACGAACGCCAAGAGTTCCGGTCTTCCTTCTCGATAGCGAGGTTCCAATACCGATGTGATGGGTTGCGAACGAGCATCAAAACATCGTGGAACGTATCTTATTAAGGTGCTCTTCGAGTACTTGATCATGACTACCACCTAAGTGGCTACTTTGTTCATGTGCAAAAAGAATTAGAGGGGAGGGCTGCTTCCTAAAAGTGTCCCTGAACTCTTGGATTTAGTATTCCGGGGACACCTGACACTGTCACTGGCATATTATCGTCAAATTTGGGAGGAAAGGGTCCAACAAGTGGATACGCATTTTGCTCAGGGGCAGTATCATGGATCGTGATGGAGTCTCAAGACACAATCTATTCAACGTTCAACTTCATATATCATGTTACGCTAGGTCTCCCCTAAAAGGTAGAGAGTGCTTTTCATCATAACAGTTTAATTCTTACTACAGGTAGGGTTTGTGCGGGGGACAGGGAATTACAACTGAAGATTCACCTCAAATTCCGCTGCAGTGTTCCCCAGTATATATTTCCTTGTACCACAACGGGGAAATCTGTACGGGGCACTCAATCTAATCTCTCTCTCCCGAGCAATTTGTTCGTGATAACTGCTCCTGCATCGCAAGGAGCTCTGCCACGGCAAGGCAACTGTGATGTTTTCTTGCGGGCGAACGAATGAGTGAAGGGGAGGGGATGTTGACCTTTTGATCGTAGATTCTGGGAGCGATCACAGGCCCGGTCCACTCGTGTCCGGTAGAATAGGCACAACACCAGCTGGTGACGCTGATGCTGGTGCTAGTGCGATATTCGTTTAGGCCCTTTGATGCTATTTTTTGTTCGTCCACGAGCGATTGCACCTGCTAATGGCTGGATCGATGGCTGCTGGCACGGGGAGAAAGCGGAGGAGGAGAGAGGGAGGGCAAACGCCCTAGCCAGATTAAACATCCCATGAACCGAATTCCTGACTGAGAGACAGAAGGAAAAAGCCACTCCACCCTTCTGTGTCTATCTGAAGGTGTTACGGAAAGGTACGGTGGGTAAAGCAATGGTATGATCGAAGGTTTGCATTACGGATATGGTTGGATTTACTCACTTCATCTACAGATAGCCCTGCTGTCCAGTTCCGTTCACATGAGTTGGGATTTGAAAACCAGCTGACCAAGTTGGCAGAACTTGGTATTGGTCAGCTCTCTCGTCCCTCCCCCTCTTCCCTCTCACTCGCTCACTCGCCCGCTCGTTCACAACCCCCCATCATTTTACCCTTCCCCTCTCATTCCCCCACCATCAACTCCTCCTGCCGGCCGAAGCTAGGAGCGGGGGGGGAAGAGCAACGGTAATGCCACTCCGTGTGTATCATCTTGGTACGTATGTAAGCTAAGCAAAAATATCCGGTCCAACCCCCCCCCCAAGCTCATTAACCATCCAGTCCTATTCGCTATCTTTTATAACATTGTACAAACTCCTCTTACCTTCCCTCCTAACCAACCCTGGCATTAAGGCAAACACACCTCACTTCATTCCACTTCACCGCACTGCGGATAACCTATGAGCACAGCATGGTATATACATGGGGTATATCCATGGCTGCAGAGAGCGGTTCCGGCATTTTTGCTTTCTTTTTTTCTTCTTTCTTTTTCTTTTCCCCCCTTGTTTGGAGCTGCGGTGGGTTCCGAGTGAGGGGGTGATTAGTGCTTGCAAAAGAACTATTATATAGTGCTGCGCACTACATACGATATATGAGATATATAATATGATACCCTGGATCAGAAGCTTTTTAATTAAATTTACCAACTCCAGCGTACCGTACGTAGTTTGTCTGGAGCTTAGCATAGTAGGGTCGGTAGAGTAAAAAAGCTAAGTTGTGGCCACCGCAGGAGCAGTGGGTGACTGAATGAGCGGGTGTACCGGTATCATGGCTCTCCCGGCCGGCCGGCTGGCTAGCTTACTTGCAGGCCATACACGTACTATACCACCAATCACGATCCTCAGCTAGACTTATTCAGGGATTCGTCCACTCACTTACTCGCTCGTTACAGCACAGCACCCCCCAAATATCTCCACCCTCCTCCTCCTCCACCACCACCACCTCCTCCTCCATTACCGGTATGCTAACACCTCCTCTATCAAGCGAAACTCACACTGTGGTCCTAGCCTAATCCACAAGAACACTCACCTCTCCCCAAACCCGCAAGCAATAACACTAATCATGCAAGTAGGGGGAAACGTACAGTACAATATTGTACCCGTACCCCCGAGCGCCCGAACGCCGCATAATAACAAACAAGTACCGTAGCATGCCGTATGCAACGGATCTCCCCGGACCAAAAACCCCACCACAACCGCGGAGATATCTATCTGATGGCGATCTTCCATGTTCACCTCCTCTCCCACTTCCATTGCCCTTGTGCTGCTTGCTTGCTCGCTTGTCGAGTTCCTCGCTGGGAAAAGGAAGAGCATGTTGTGCGAAGTGGGATTAGAAAGGGGGGGGGAGGGGTTAAACCCCACCACCCCCTATTGTGATTTTGGTTTATTACCAAAAGGCATTGTGGTTTCCTCACTTTCTTCTTATATGGGAGGTCGAGCTTGTACCTTCCATATATAGTACCGGAGGGGGGGGGGGACGCGGGGGTCAACTTACAATAACTGGCGAGTTACCGGTACGGCAGGTAGGTAGGTATACATGGCGGCGGTAAGCTGGAGTTTCTATAACAGTATAATACGTACAGTGAGATATACACATGGTATGATAGAACGAGTGGTGGTCAATGGCGTGGCACGGTGGTCTACCGTACTTGTACGCCGCACATTCATTCATTCATTCGATCAATTCGATCGGACAACGGGAACGTGCAATTGCGGGAAGCTCGGGAACCCGGGAAGGAGAGTTAGGCTATGGTAAGCCAAGAGACATAGTGCCGCAGACCTTAGCCGTGGTGGTCACATACTTGTGGTCTACAAGTTCCAGGACGATACTCGATCAACTGATATTGCGGGGATGGGGAGAAAGGGAGGGAGGGAGGGAGGGAGGAGCAAAGGCAGCGAGCGAGTATGAATGATGACGTCCTTGCCCTTTCCTTTCCCCACTGCTATATCATACCATCACATCGAGCAAGGAAACATCAACTCCACGTCCATCGTATCCTATGTATTGTAACCTTACATTGCGCCGGAATATCACCACCTCATACATGATTCACGTTGCGGGACAAGAGGAGGACCACGATACTCCCCCGCCACCTGCAGCCCAGCCGGCCCCGGACCAGGGCTAACTAACTCTAGGGAGCGAAGAAAAAGCTTGTCTATGATATCTACGGGTGTTCGAGGGGTGCATGCGGTGGTGCTCCGCAGAGCTCATTGGAAGGGGGTGGGGGGGGGTCCAGGCACGCGATATCATCATGGCAGATGTACTCGTACTGTACAGTACGGAGCGAGATCAAGTGCAAGCAAGATGATGTCCGGGAAAATTCGTCGCCCCCTCCCCCCCCCATTTCTTCAATTTAATTTTTTTTTTAATTTCTGGGGCGAGAGGAATAAAAGAGAAAGCTGGCTTGTCAGATCGACGACCTTTCCTTTGGTGGATTTGTTTATTTGGGATAGTACCGGCACTGCGCTCGTACAACATGTATTATGTAGTATGTATGGCACTGTAAAATAGATACTCGTATAGTACTGTGCAACCGGGGGTGTGGGTGGATGGACGGTCTAGTGTGAGTGTGGGGGCTTTTCCTGTACTCGAGTAGTTTTTCTGGTGGCCAATCATGTACCCCTTACTAGCAGCACGAGTACGGTATCCGGTATGAAGTGCCAGAACATTTGAGTCCGAATTTGATATGGGCAGTCAGGTGCGCACAAGTGATTTGCCATACAATCTTTGATCCTTGTGTGGGGGGGTAATTCATACCTACTATCGTATGGTGCTACCTGTATACCATTCCATTCGCAGTGCTCGAGTATAAGGAAAGTCAAACACTTCAAGGAACCCCGATTGAAGATAGTGCGTCTTGATGTTCTAGGATCCATTCATTTGCAGCCGCACCATACGGTCCCACAGTACCATACAAAAGTCCAAGACAAGAAGGACCGATACTTGGGATAGAGAGTCCGCAAGTTGGTTCTTTGGTTCTTGTACTCCATTACCGGTAGATTGTTCTGGGGGAAATAAAGAAAACATGTTGGGCAACATATGCTTGATATCCCTGTCCTTGGGTTCCCGAAATGACCCAGTTGCGCCGAGGGAGGTACTTTTATAAGTGTCTTGTGCTCGAGTACTGGCTAGGGTATGCAGTGCATCGTGTCGGTTACTGGGTCTCATGTATTCACCCAATAGACATCGATAAACATCAAATGAACTCTTCTGGGCGGCGGTGTCTCTCACACCGAACCCGTCGCCCCCAAACGGCCTGGTAGACTCTTTTTCCTGAACACAACATCTTTCCCACCTAAACCGACTAATTGTATAGTACGCCCCACCACCCCCTGCGGGATAATAAGCTTTTCCTCCAAGCTTGCCAAGATGATCCCGGTCCCGGAGAAACAGATGGTATCATACCGGTACCGGTATCAGGATGAGTAAAAATAAAAAATGATACAAAAAAAAAAAATGAAGATGCAAAAAAATAATGACGACAGCAAGGCTTTGGGGTGAAGCAAGCAAAGCACGTGGTCGCATCTTCCTAATAGTTCTCCCAAACCACTGGAGGCAGGACCGTCCTAATGACCCTCCAGTGTCCGAGAGCGCTCGTTTCCTGCCAGCCAATAAGCGCATCGATGTTGGACTCGCCAAGAAGGGTAAATTCACCCGACACCCCAAAATATTGATCGAGATCTATTTCGAATTTGGGGAAGAGGAAGTGCCTCCTCGTAATCGACCCCAAAATATCGGCATCAGCCGGTGCACGGAACGTGTAGGGGTCCGGAGAGCGGGTGCAAAAGATAACCTAAAATCCCAAATGATTGGTGACAGTTAGCAGAGCCAGGAATGGAGTAACCAAGCTTTTCCAGTGGAAAAAGGAGGGTGTAGAGAAAGGGCAAAAAAATAAAAAACGGAGATAGGGTCAGACATGCTCAGCTCTCCGGAAGGAACGGCATAGAGAAAAGTGGAGAAGAAAAAAAGAAAAAAAGCTGCACCCTTTGGTCGGATTCGTTACTCGTACTGTAAAAGTGTCCAGGGTTTGAAAGAGTCAGGGCCCCAACTGTCTGCCTATCAGGGCTCGCCCCTCCTCCTTCAGCGGGGTCCACCTTGGGCCAAATAACCGAGAAGCAGGGTCCAGCCTGACCCGGCCCGGGTAACAAGAAATGTGTCCTGAAGTCGTAGGAGACGAGGAGATAAACAGAACTGAGAAACCAGAGGGGACCCAAGAAAAAGGAGAACAAAATGCCCAGAACAGGGTTCAAAGATCCCGTAGCACAACCCAGATAAAGATCCGAAAATCTTGTTGAGAAATAGAAAAAGAAACGCGCTTGGGATATGAAATACCTGCGGAGATATAACGCCTAAGTTTTGTATGTTACACTAGCTGTGGGTATTGTGTGAGTCTCGAGTGTAACTTACAAAACTTAGGCGCTGTACCTCCGTAATGTGGCATAGGCATATGTGATGTTACCTCGACCTGAGGAACCCGAGAAAATAAACAAAACAGGAAGAAAACAGATCAATGTTTAGCGCAAGCGCATATTATAAGCCGCTTAAAGAGACGGGGTGTAGAGCATCGAGGCACAGGAGTTGCCAGGGTTGTAAATAAAACTCACCATGTTAGTATAGTCAACGGTGGCTTTGTCAATGTCCTCTCCAGGCATATCCTCCCTGAAAACCCTGCAGCCATCAAATACCGTTCGCACAGTTTCAATGATCGATTTTGCTGCCTTCAACTTCAAATCACCAGCCCAATTCTAAAAATCACGTGGTTAATAACTCCGATAGTACCAACACAGTTACTCCGAACCCTGGTCCCAACAGGAAATTATTGGCACGTGTAATATTCAAGGGCCCAAGACGTCACAACTCTTCCAGTTGCCGTTCGAAGTAACCAAGAGCATTAGGAGTTCAAGGGGCAAAGCTTACAATCGCAATAACGCCGTCCTCGGAGAGAAGGTCCCTTAGTCCAACAAAGAATTCCAGGGTGAACAGGCTCGCCGGGACAGCTCCTCCAGTAAAAACGTCATGAAGGATATATTCATACTTCTTCCTGTCCTTGCCTCTGTTGCTGTTTTCCCTCTTAACAAAGGTGATAGCATCTTCAATGTATGCTGTGTGATTCTCTTTGAGTTGGAAGAACTCAGTCGCATATTGATGAACAACGGGGTCTAGCTCAACAACATCCGTCTCCACCCCATGAGTGATCAACCCGTTCACAGCAGTGCCAATACCTAAACCACTATAAGCAAACAACGGCGGTCAGTCCCACCTCATAAATCTAGAGTAACCTCAGGATTATGAGGATATACATAGCTAGAGCCTTTGGGTTGAGGTTCTTGGGAGGTGGGTCAATAAGCCGGACAGCCTCCAACATGACAAATATAGCATAAATTGGCTCCTTAATGCCTTGATCCATATACTCGAACCCTGGAGGAGGTACCTCCCATACTCCACCCAATAAGGAATGATCGCAGCGCAATACTCGGAAATTTTGATGATTATGTTGAAGCACAGAAATATAACCCGTATTCGATTCCTGACGAGCTAGAAGGGTATAGTTTGAGGCTGTCAATATTTCATTGAGGCCAATAGTAGAGGTGCACATGCTATTGTACATGTTTGTATGCAACATTGCAGGAATAGCTGTGAGAAGCAAGAGGGAAGGAGACACCAATGCATAAATCCCACCAGCCAGGTTAGGGAGTCCGCAGCGGGTGAGAATCCATGACGATCCGATGCGGTTCATAAGGTGTTTCGGAACTGATGACTGCATGTTCCAGAAGTATCCAGCAAATACGCTTGCCACGACTCCATCTGTGGCAAAGTTTCCAAAATGAGCCAAATGAGCTATAGAGTAAACTGACAGGAAGAGCAGAGGGTAAAACGTTACGCCCTCGGTGATTATCGGACCGCAGAAAGGACCCCAGCCATCAGAGTATCTTGCAAGGGCCCGTTGAATCGCAGGTACATAAAGGGACAGAACAGGCAACAAATTCCTTGCTTTGAATGGAAGCTTAAATGGAAGGTACTTCGCAATCCACGCTGCCGCAAACACAAAAGCCGATATCTTTGAGTGGTAAAGTGATGTCGGGATTCCACCATAAACAGGTGCCAACGCCATTTGAGATGCACAAGACATGATTGAGGCAGTTGATAGAAGAACAACAGCCTTAAACACGGCAAGCAGTTTCGAAAAACCCAAAGTGTTGGGGATAGTAGGTGAATTTCGTGAGATTTTCGCCCGCCTTGCCATCGCTCGCATACCTTTTGCGGACGGTTTGGAAGGTGTAGTTGTTGCCATTGAGAATTCGCTCGACGGCTAATAGAAGGTGAAGGGCTGGTGAGGTTCAAAATGCCTCTTTAGTTCCCGAGCTCCGAGGTCCGATGATGTTGGAAGCTGTATCTTTCAAAGGGTCCCCTAGAAATAAGTATCACAAGGCCAGTGGGTCGATGGGTAAAATAACCACTATCGTATAAAGACTAAAAAACAGCGCGCGACGAAAAGAACCCGAAGCAATCGTGTTGCCGTGAGAATGTTGAAGATGGCCGTACACCAAAGGGGGGGGTAGGACCAATTTCAACACAATGGAATTCTGAAGCACCTACGAATAGAGCTCCCCCTAAAACAAGGGTACACTCGTACTGTAAGGGCGCCAGTTGGCGTCTTGGCTCAAAGCACGGGGAAAGCGGTTGCCAGCCTAGATCAGGGACCTCAAACGTCATTCATCAACGTTATCTACTCTCCTTCTCTTTTCTTACTTGTGCAACTCTTCTAGACGCTATTCGGTCTCACAACCTTCTCCCCCCTTTTCCCCCTAATTCATGCCTGGAAGAATTGTCGATGAAATGGAAGTCGACTCTCCCGCCTTGGCAAGCGGACCAGAGCTCGTCGACCAAACAATCAACCAAGGTCAACCCTCGACCACTTACCAACTACGCTCGAGACCATACTAACCACTTCCCCGAAGAAGCCGCCCGAGAGGAAGACCCTCATTCTAATCTAGATCGAGTGCGGCGAATTACAATCAGAAATCGACGGTAAACAAAGCCATCCACCCACCTACCTTGCCCCTTTCAGCCCTAAACAGGGGAGCTCCTTGAAACATTCCTCTCATTCCTCCTCCGTGCATGCCTATCACGATCCAAAGGAGGAGAAAACGAAGCTTACCTCCGACCGTGCCCAAGCCAAAGCCTAAACTACATCTCTAAGAATTCATCAACATACTTTTCATCCCCGGATCTAGAGCTCGCCGACCCGCTGCTGTACGATAGGTTAATCCGCCACTACCAAACGCCATCTGAGCGGGAGGCAGAAGGCCGGAGTAAGGGCTGGTCCGGTATACTCGAAGCCGACATAACCCGCTCAGAGGCCAAAGTTGAAGCACTCCGCGAAAATCCCCAGGAAACGCTAGAGTCGCGGGCAGAGACGAACCAGGGGCAGACGGTATCGTCGAAGGAGGAAGCCGAGCAGGTGTGGCGGGAGACCATGATACTACGGTTTCTGGAAGGGAGAGATGAAGAGGCGGATTATGCGACTATCGACGGGAACGAGGAGTACGACGATTACAGGCAGATAGAGAGGGATGCTCAGGATGTCTACTTTGACGCCGAGAGTCCGTCGGTGGAGGGGTCCACGATTGGTGATACCGGTATTCAAGATTTTTGAATAGTGTTGGGCAATTACGATATCAAGTGCAAAGAGTCATTCGGATTGGATTATAATTGAAAGAGGTGCCTTTTTCTAGGCTATTTCATCACTTCTGAGATTCCACAATATTTCATCTCAACTTATGGCACACCTAGTTGCTACCCAAAACGTTTATTTTGACCCCAATTGTAGAGGTCTCCGGGAAAACCCTGTTTTTCTTCAGAGCGGCATGTCTAGTTGGCACCAAAATTAAATAATCAAGTTGTAATAACAAGGTCAAAATGGAGGTTTCCCAAATATTCACTCCCAAACAGTGTGAGAGATTACAGAAACACCAGTGCCATCACTAATAATGGGAATAAAAATAAAAAATGAATGGGAATAGACGCCCAAACACCGATGCCAATGCCTTCATCAAAGTATTTGTTCTGTTTTTTTTTGAATTCTCTTCCCAATGGCCAAACACACTTCTTGCAGCTTGGGTATTGGAAATACAGGGCTACAAAGCCTGAGGTCATCCCAGTCGTCCGTCACCAGCAAGCCACGCTTTGCGACTCTCCATGTTCGAAAAACCCAAGACCGCCAAACACCCCCTTGATATTTTAAAGTCATAACTAATCACTCGATACCAAATTTATAGTTCATAAATGACAAAGCTTACCACCTGAAAGTTGCTGGGGCCCTACGGCTCGAGACAGACTACTGCATGGTACCTGGAAGAGCTTTTATCAGGAGGTGTGTGCTGTGCAGACAGCTGGACCCTGTAATCCCATCCGTGTCGGAACGAAGTTCTACGGATGGGGGAGGCCAGGTGCGTAACTTAGTGACGAAGTATTGTTTCCATTGGAATTATTGTGCGCTGTTACAAAAAAAACGTGATAGAGTAACGAAAACTCGCATGTCACTGCGCATGAAAATCCTACAGATACAGGGGCTGTAGGCCAGGCTAGGCTTCACACACGATTTATAGGCCACCCGAGCCAGAATCCACAAAGCCCAAGCCAATCCAGCCCATGGCAGGCGCTGCCAGCAGCGATGCCCTCACATCGGAAATGCAAGGGGAAGCTCTTGATTGTGGGTCTCAGCGCCCTATCGTTGCTGCTCGAGAACTCTCCACAGTATCGTCTCCGGATTCAAAAAACACACAAAGCCCGAATAGAACTACCTCGCCGACTCCAACAACCTCTTATGTTACACTCAATTATCAGTAAATTCCAGGCCAATCCTAGCTGCTTCCCACCCCCGTATCAATACGGGAAATTGGAATTTGCGCTTCATAACTCCATAAACCATAGCAAACAATATTATAGTACAATACCGTGGTATCTTCCGGTACTCCAGTCCTTACAATATGGTACAAATCCAAGTAGACCTCACACCGCATCCTTATGGGAACGATTGAAACCCCTCCAATTCCAAAACCCATGATATGATACGAGAAACTTTGAGAAAGAAACTTCAAAAACCATGAACCGGTAGATCCTCGAAACGTTCTGTTTTTGTGCGCGGTGTAGCGGGGGAAAAATAGGTTCCAAACCTGAACTGGTGATAGGAAAGACAGAGCAGGAGGAAGGAGAGGGACACCCATGAGCAGTTAATGATGAGTTATTCCGTTTACACTGCACGAGGCGAAGGTGAAAAGTGGGAAGAGAAAGTGAAGAGAAAGTGAAGATAAAAAAAAGAACACTCTTGGTCTAAAAAGTATATGAACAGGCAGCGGATAGGCAAAAAAAAAAGAGCCAAAAGACCTGTAATAAAAGACCTAATGAGCAAATAATAATGCCACGTGAAATTGGAGGTAGTAGCTAAGAGTGGATTAGGACTCAGGGTTCAAGAAGAATGAGAAGGCTTCACACTATGATACTTGTAACAGCGATCCAGGAAGCCAAAAACTAAAAAAATGGGAAATTTAGTCGGGAAAATTACCCCCCCCAAAAAAACAAACGCCCCACATATAGGGTCCAATACAAGCGCCATGCATAGCGAGGATGTTCCCGAGGGTTTCGGAGAAAAGGTCCAGTACAATATAAATATAAAAACAAATAGAACTGGGGCAACGAGAAAGCAGGCTGAAGCGACGGCGAGCAAATAAGGTTGTCCCGGACGAAGGAGAAACATCCAACCTTCGTGCCTGGTGTTACCTTTCATCATTCCATCCATTCAGAGCAAACCCTAACCCTAACCAGGGTATTTAGGCTCCCCGAAAATCACAATGCCCTTTCAGTCGTTGTCTAAATATCTCCTCCAACCTTCCCGGATGCACTCGATACCCCCACCATTCTCGGCCTCCACAATCACGAACTTTTCCCACCTTGCCTCTCCAGTCTTTCCGCCAATCCCAACCGCAACCACAGAGTCCTCTCCGATCCATCCCAATGCACCCCGCCCACCACCTTCAAAGGGTGCATGTGCAGCACTCCACTCACTGGAAAAATACTTTGGGAGGAGAGGGAGTTTGCTCAGCATTGAATATCGCCGATTATCGCCGGACGGGGCATTCGAGGCTGTGCTATGCGAAGATGATGGACGAGCAGGTGTCTGAGAAACAGAAGATAAGGAAGGTAGTTCGAACACATGGAGTGTGTTCTTGTCACTAGTCACAGCTAGCCGTGATGAGGAGGGGGATATTGCGAGTGAAAATATTGCAGCCTTATCGATCCCTCTGCGTAGTTCTCTGATCATCCGAGACGTAGCTGTTGAGTAAACATGAATCAACGTACCCTTGTTGTTATTAGTAAAGTTGGCTTCATATTAGGAAGAGTACTAAGAAATACCGTCTCTGATGCGGTGGCTAAAAGATCATCCTGTGGCGAAATTGTGATTGCCGATAACGGGGTTGAATGTGCAGGTATGATACTAACGATCCCAGTTGCCAAATCAAAGATATTTACATGACCTGGTGTTCTACCAGGAAACGCCAGGAACTTTGATGAAAGTGCGACCAGCCCTAGTGGGTTGTCATGTGTTTCGAAGACATGCTCTCGAGCAGGGGGTGACGAGAAGGCATAGATATGAACCGTGCCAATTAAGACAACTATTATCCGCTGTCGTGACAGACGCACAGCATGAACTTCGGAGCGGAACTCAAGAGTTATCACGGCCTTTTGCTTGATATCATCCCATATTATGACTTTGTTTGGCGGGAATTTCGGAGAGCGACCCCCACCAACAAGAGCAAGGTAGTTAGCTCTGCCCAACATAGACGCTACCCCAATACCAGCACCGAGACCTGTGACAAGTAGGATACGTCAGTCTTGAGTAAAATTATATATTTGGCACTGGAGAGGAGAGCTGGGGGAACATACTTCGAGATATCTGAAGCTCGCATGGATCTGTATTGTAGACTAAATATTACGGCATGCAATAAGTGTCATGACCAGGCATGGGGGCTGGCAGGAAGAGTATACCGCAAAACCCGCTATCAAGACCAATAGAGAAGCAAGAGTTATCCTGATTGAAAGTAGCAGAGAGCGCTTGTGGTCGGCCGGTAGTCGCTATTTGTGGTCGGGTATTCATTGCGAAATAGGGAGCGAGTGTAAAGATAGAGGGCAGGGAATGGGGGGAGGGTAGCGTGGTAGAATAGCAGGGAACGAGCTTCAAACTATGAGTAATAACGGTAGTGTCGCGGAATATGAACAGTATAGCAAAGTGAGGGAAGAGATGGAGGAGATGGAGGAGAGAGGTGGAGGCGAATGAGCAGTGGGTGGGAGAAGTCTAATACCGTAAATTCTACGGGAACTGCCGTATGAGTGCCTCTGTATAACGAGGGACGACTGACGATAAAGTCACTATCGCGCCCAGATATAAGCTCAAGGCCCGGGAATAACAGTAGTGGTTGGGGTACGGGTGGGCTGTGCGGAAAACACTGTGGAGCCGAACAAGCTCTGAAGGAAAGAAGCGGCACCAGTCGACACCAGCACTTGGTGATAAGGCTACTTGCTGGCTCTTGCGGGTGTGTCCAAGGTCCGTCACGCGTCGGAGTTGTGAGGAACAAATCGGGACCGAGTGGCTTTGCTGCCTATTTCCCTGCGTACGATAGCGCACGCATCTGCGTTCTATCTATCCCCGTACCACCAGCGCCCAGATTTCAGGGACCTTCGCTTGGGGGCGGCGACGCGGGAAGGAGGATCGACAAAAATCTGCTGCATGCTACTTGCTTCTGCTTCTAATTTACCGCTGCTGCTGCTCTGCTCCGGCTTTTCCCCATCGCCTCCTGACCACGATTCGATTCGAATCCTGCAACTGCGTCTATCCGTCTTCATACCCTAACTACACCCCTCGAATTGAATCCATCCCATCTCTTCCTTCATCCATCAGTGCACCCACCTACCTCCTCCGAAGTACATCTGCCCGAACAATACCTGCTACAACAGTTTCGTATCATTTCAGCAATCCCAACCGCCTCACAGTTCCGGACCCGATTGAGCCACAAAATAATACAAGCAGGCTATTAGTCCCTAATAGCTTTCTAGGAAATTTTCGACGGCAAAATGGACCGCACCGGCGGCTTCTACAAGAGGCCTGGCTCGGCCATGTCCAATACATCATCAACCAAATCTGAGAAGGAAGACATGTGGTCGTCAATGTTGTCTTCTGTTGCTTCTTCTAAGAGACTGCCACATAAGTCCATCCTAGTCTTAGGTACATATCATCTTTGTTCTCAACAATTCAGTGGATTGCAGCTCTGGAGCTGTAGGAGGCTAATGCATTGTTGGAAATTTCTCAGGTGGATCGGCGGAGGGCCAAAAGGAGTTTGTGGAGTCTTTGGGGGGAGGAGCAGGCAGCAGCACTCGTGGGGGGAACCGCAAAGGGGAGAAGAGGCCGCCGATAGCTAATGAGTTTGCCTTGGGCTATGCCTACCTTGACGTTTTGGATGCCGACCACGAAGGTTGCTCTTTTTTACCAAATCATTCCCTATATTCTCTAATCGTCCCATCTGTGTAGATGTTCTTGCTCGCCTAGGGGTGTATCTAATTTCCGAACCTACCCCGTCTTTCATACCGCTTCTCCAGCCTCTTTTTACCCCCACAACGCTCCCCGAGACGTTAGTTGTCATACTCCTCGATTGGTCAAAACCCTGGGACTGGATGAGATCTATTAAGACATGGGTTCGGTTGCTCCGGGGGATATTCACCAGCCTGGATGACGATTGCCGGAGAACGTTGGATGAGGTTACACATGCATGGGAAACTCGACGCAGTACATATACAGACGCTGGGGGTGGAGAAGTAACCATTCCACTAGGCCCGGGGGAATTCGATGAACCCCTTGGATTGCCTCTTTGTGTTGTCTGTTATAACGTATGACCTACTCCCATTCTTGCTCCTATATATAGCTCTTTGATTCTTATTTCTGGACATGATATAAAGGCGGACAAGATTGAAACGTTAGAGAGGGAGCGAGGTTGGAAGGAGGAGGCGTTTGATTTCGTTCTCCAATTTCTAAGGACGGTATTGCTGAAACGTAAGTGTCGCACATCTTGTTCTCATGAAAAGGAAACGAGGCTAACATTTCAAAGACGGAGCTTCGTTAATTTACACGACCCCCTCTGCGCCATCTCCAATAAGACAGTTAATATTATCCCTACTATCAATACAATCATCCTCACGGGTACGCGACCACACCTCTAGCGAAGAACATCACTAACACCGGAACGCAGCAGCAATCCCTAAAACACAATGTGATTGATCGCGATAAGGTCCTTGTGCCCCCTCATTGGGATTCCTGGGGGAAAATCCGCGTCTTACGTGAAGGCTTCGACGTTGAAGGGATAGGTTCCGGTTGGAGCATTGATATTTCTCCGGGTTCAACCGATCAGTCTGGTGTGGAGGATGGAGCTGTGGAGATTTATGAGGAAGTCATCAAGGACCCTAAACGTGGTGATCCCGAGGGACTCGATTTACTCAACAAAAGTGGAGGCAGTGGTGGGATTGAAGTGCCCGCTGTCGACACCCAGGTATTCCTTGCTGGCCAACTGGAATTACTAGAAGCCAGAGCTGCAGAAGAGATGGCTACAAGAGGTGGGAGAGAAGATAAGTATAATACAGCGAGTGGAGAAGAGGTTATGGAACATGTGGGGCCGGTGCAGTTTAACGTTGGTGGAATTCAAGTCGATGCCGAGAATATGCTTGAAAGGCTAAAAGTAAGCACTTCAATCCGACGCCTTTTCATTCCCCGACGTCTATAAGAGGTTTCAGCTCGAGTCCAGGACTGTTCCGTAGCTAATTCCTCTCAATAAAGGAACGAGAGCAAACCAGGGCTTCCGAACGGGAACCAATGCCACCGAATCCGACAGGTAGCGAAGGGAAGAGCCAAAATGAGGTATTATCTGCATTCTTCTCCTCATTGATGAAGAAGAAGGGGACAACAAAGGGAACTTCGCCTGGATCCTAGTTGGACGATTGTAGGCAAGCCATAATATATCATCGGTTGCATCATTCTGTTTTTAACATCCCAATGTACCATTTTGGGTTCTTACTGTCCCGGTATTCCCTCAGGCTTCTACATAATATACTACCCAAGTACTTATTGGTTTCCCATTTGCCTTTTTCACATTTTTATCCATTTTTTACTGTTTTTCTTCTGTTTTTTCATCACCCTTGATCGGAGGAATCTCATCAAAATCCGGCTGGGGTTTAGGGAAAGGGTTATTTCAACTGATTAAATAGAGCGGAGCAGCAGAGGCATATTTGTGCCACCGAGCAAAAGTTCAACGTGAAGAAAGGAGAATGGGGAATATGGGGAGTGCATCACCCAGTGTCCCAAGGCAGCGTCAATTAGCAAACATTCGCTATTATACTAGTATACAATTAGTCAATCCGGGGATGGTGTAGCAGAGGGACATAACACCAGTAGTAAACAAAGAACTGTGTCTAGCAGATATCCTTAAAGCACTCGCGCATGTGAAGCCACCACCAATGTTGTGGTTTAATAATGGCGTAGTATACCGGTATTATAAGTAGCGAGAGCTGTAACCTCCATTGGTAAAAAGGTCAAGAAAAAAGGAAACATTTAAGGCACATAATAGCTAGCGACGGATTAGGAAAAACACGCAAACCACCTATCTATGTACGGCACTGGGCTTGTTTTAACTCTCATTTCACCCCGGGACCACTGAACTCCAGTTACAAATGAAATGATCAAAAGTGAAGTATCATAGAAGAAAATAATAATAGCAAAAAAAGGTAAAAATCAGGCAGCCCAAACCAACCAACCAGATACTCAAACTTGAAACGAAGCCAATTTATTCCCCCATGAAAGACTTGACGCTGCCGCCAATGTTTTTGATGTCTAGCAGGAAACTATCATGACCGAAGAGGCTGACATCCTGGCCGAGTTCGACATGCTTGACATTGGTATTACCAGCCTTGCGGAGGGTATCGGCGACTTCACGCTGCTGCCAGGCGGGGAAGAGGATATCGCTCTCCACTCCGAGAACCAACGTTGGGATATCCCTCATTGGGGACAATCCCAGTACCAGATCGTCGGATACAACTGCGTCATCATCGCTAGACGCGGTCTGGGAGGAATCTCTGTTTAGCTGCTGCTCGGTGTACGGTGCCCTGGGCAAGGCCAAGGAGCAGCCCTCATTCTCACCGCCGCCGTGCTCACTGTCGCTGGAATAGCCCTCGAGGAGTTTGTGCTTGCTCTTCTGGCGCAACTCGCGGATGCTATCCTGGTTCGCGATGCCCAGGTCGAAGAGGTCCATTGCCTTCGACACGTAGAGGAGACTGTTGGCGTCATATTCTAGGCAGAACTTCTCGCCAGCGTGGTCTAGGTAGGTTTCTATCAGGAAGTCAGGACATAAAGCGGGGGGGCGGGAGGGATCTGCGCGCTGCCGGCCGAAGCGTTGTTCCCATTCGGGACCCGAGCGGTAGGTTACTGTGGCGATCTGCCGGGCTAGCTTCATGCCCAGGTGCGGTGGGACCTTGCCGTAGTAGAAGCCGCGGTTCCAGTTTGTGTCGGCCATCAGGACTGTATTTTTCAGATATTTTTTGGAATGGTGAGTATTCTGAGATGGGTGGAATGTTATAGGTTTGTCCACTACATACCTTGTCTCTGAGCATGTCTCAATGCAATGCTGTAGGGATGGCTTCGGGCACAACCACTTATGCTCACGATCCTGCCGATTCTATCGGGGTATAAGACCCCGGCGGCAAGACTCTGCATGCCGCCCATACTGGCTCCGACACTTGCCATGAGCTTGTCCACGCCGAGTGCGTCCAGCAAGCGAAACTGAGCCCTGACCATGTCACTCATAGTCAGGATGGGGAATCGCGTGGCGTACCGCTTCCCGTCCGCGGGATCGATGCTGGCCGGTCCTGTGGATCCGTAACAGCCCCCGAGCACGTTCGTGCATATCACATGAAAGTGGTTCGTATCGAGTGCCAAGCCAGGACCTATGAACTTCTCCCACCAGCCAGGGCGTGGGTTGTCCTCGTTGGACTTTGCATGGGAGGATGCGGAGAGACCAGTGTGGAGGAGCACTACGTTGGACCGGTCCGCATTCATATTGCCCCAGGTTTCATAGGCTATGGTGAACTCCTTCAGTCTCCCGCCATAGTCTAGCAAGAGCGGGTCCTTTGACGTGAACTTCTTGTGAACACCGGTCGTGTAAGAAGGCTCAGGACCATTAGTCATGGACCGGGACACAATCTCTTGGGTCCTTGACTCTACAGCGTCTAGGCATGGGAAGGACATTTGTGGGTTCGACGCTGCGGACCCGGAAGGCCAGGAGGGGGAAGCGCTAAAGCCCCGGAGTGGTGGCCATGGGTCTGCTGATGGCGACGGGGTACATTTCCGTAACCTCATCGCACCGGGAACGGAATTGATGTATATACGGCGAGGCTGCACCGCATGGCGAAGCAATTTTGAGAACTGAGATCGCATGTTTGTCTGTTAGGAATTACGAGGTCAACAGGGGTGCTCCCTCTTACAGTATCTGCGATATGGGAGTCTCAGGATGAGGATGGATCTTGTCTCGGGAATTATTATTATTATTTTCCCTTCGCTCTGTGTGTCCTTGGGAACACGATATGATTCGGTGGAGGTTGGGGTTGGTTCGGAAATGGGTAGGCAGACGGGAATTGCGAGGGGCGAGGGCGGGGGTTGAAGGGGAGGGGGAGCTCACCATGACGGGAGATGTTCAGACCTAAGAGCGAACCCTCTGCCGTTGTTCCCATCCAATATTCTTTTGTATGATAGCCATAATTATGATACATATTATCATACAAAAGAAAAAACTAAATGACGCTATCCCTCACAGTACAAGTACCGTAAGCACACATCCCCACTGCTAGCATTGATAATCCAATCCAAGAACAAGCGAGCTGCTCTATCACCTCCAACATGTTTGAGACAGGCGACTCCCAAAGAGCATTGTCACATCTCACCACACACCCCCTGATCTGCGACGTGATCACTTTCCGGTATTGTCATGGAACGTCTCTCATACTCGCTATCGACACCCGGTCCCAAGTCTCCGGATTACGAGAAGTATCCCGGATCCCGAGTGGCATTACGAAGAACCACCCTATAGAAGCTCTACTTGGTATGCTTAGTATAGTAAGACTAACAGCCCTCACCATAGTCCCTCCCATACTCTTACTCGAGTACATTTCTATTTATACCAGATGAGTACTGTACTATCCCGCGGCGCTAGGACACTGCTAAAAACACCAACGTACCGGTACGGTACTTGCACTACCGGCAGTATGATAAAGGCATTGCAGTGCCACAGCCCAGTAATCGTGCTGAAGGAAGAGGCTGGCAGGTCAGGCAGGGCATGGGGAGTCGTATACACAAGTATAGTACTCGTACACTGGAGTGTTCGCGCAACCCTGACCTGCGTGATATTCTGTGCTCTCAGAACCCCCGTATACACTTTCTTTCAGAATGGCACACAATTCAAGCTCGGCGTGCCGAGAATACGATTTGATAGAAAGATGGAGAGGGGATGAACCACACACCAGTAGCCGGATATGAGCCACGTTTGAGTGGGGGAGCGGATGGCGAGCGGTTTCCCTATCCAGCGGCGGAAGCATGAATGTGAGACCCACGGTAGATACCGTGCTATAATGCGCTTCCCCCCCGGCCCCCCGAGATGCAGACTTACACCTACCTAATATCATAATCGCCGGAAAGAGGTTTACCAGTAATGTCGTGCGACGATTGTAAAACAGACCACTATTACATTGAGCCAAAAATTGGCCAGAGCCTCAGAATTTTGGCGGTATGCAATAGCAGTCCGTTTTACAAATGTCACCACATTTCGAGTGGTCTATCCATCTGGCTTCCTACTAATCGGGCCATGATCGACTGCCCACTACTCGAGCACTGCTGTTCGTGACACCCCGCTTTTCGTTTCAAGATTACGGCGACCTATAAGCCTTCGGAAAGGCGATGGGGCGGTTTTCACCACCCCAGCCACCCTTCCTAGGGCCTCCCTCGTCCTCCTTCCACCATATCACATCGCATCACATCCTACCCCGTACGATACCTCAACCTCCATCAACCCGAGCACCCTTGGAGGACAGAGGCGGGGCGGAACGCTTTGTTCGGATGGGTTTTTTTTTTTCCCATTTCATGCTTTCTAACTATACTAAAGTATCTGCACCTTTCTACTACCCTTTACAATTTAGCCCATTTTCTTCCTTCCCCTCCTCCGATTTCTCTACCAAACTCCCTCAAATCCTCTTCCCCGTACTCACCATTGTTCGGATGGTTGATACCCGCGCCAATGTCATTGCTGTCTGGAGCCGAATATCTCTTCTATACCATGGAGAACCTTGCCATTTCGTGGATATTTATGACGAACATCCGGTCCATCCGAAACCCATCTCTTTAAAAGTAAATCGCCTTGCGTCGGTGGTTTCGGGAGCGGGGATTATTAAGTATCATAATATTATCATACTTAGTGCTGCGCATCTTGTGATAGCAATCATACCGTCAAGTGATTAAAAATACCAATTACTTATCTTTCACAGTCGTTCGATGGAGTGAAAAAGGGACCAATCGATAGCACGGTACGAGTACTGATTAAAATACCGATGACACTATGGAGCCATCTGACTTCCTTTGTTTTTTTTTAACACAGTCCTAACCAGGGTTCGGCCTATTGTATTTCTCAAAATTGCATACGACTCGCTTTGCCGCGGAATGCGTTAACGTTTCCTTTCCCCCTCGAAGTTGGTTGGATGGATAGCACAGGTGGGAGTCTAAAATGTTCCTAGGAGGGTAAGTTAGGCGGTCTATGGGCAGTGATGTGCCGTAGGCGGGATACCGGTTTTATTTTTATTTTTATTTTTATTTTTATTATTATTATTATTTTTACCGCATATCATATTTCCCCACAGTCGGTCTGCCGAAAAAAGGTGGCAGGAGTGATGTCTATGGCAGCTATCGTACTTAGGCATGCGAAAAATTTGTGCCAATGGAAAAAAATGGAGAGAAGCATGAGCTTGGACCCACGGTAAGTTATGGTTTCGTGTTGATGTCTTGTTGCAATGGCTATGATAATACGGTAATATATACAATACAGTATTATGATACCATAACTCCAACCCAACAAGAGAAAAAAAAACTCTTAATGTATTTGGCGCAGAAACGTATAAATAAGTACCGGTACTGTGGAAAGTATACTTGTATGTACGGTACTCAAGCAATCATTTACAACAACTCTCAGCTCGATCAGAGAGCTATGATATTGTAAAGGCATGGGGTTCGCAGTGGCGAATGGTACTTGTACTCGTACTCGTACTGTACCACATTTTGTTAGGGTGCACTGCCCAGATACTTGCACGGAAAAGAAAAAATAAGCACCCTGCCTAAAAAGTATGGTGGAAGAGATCTAATGACTAATCATAGAAGAAAAAAAAAATATCCGGCCGTTTCGGTCCGAGACATCTGATACCCCTTCGTCTTTTTCTATTGACACAAATCCTTTCTATGCCCTACCTTTTGCGCGTGTGTGCGTCTCCCCGGAAACTATCAGACATTCTGTGCGAGTGGATCTTTTGCGCACCTTTGACCATGAGATAATTCATTTCATTCTTAGTTTATCAAGGGAGGGGTGCACCAGAAACAATTCCCCAAGACGGCGTGGATATTTTTTCAACACTAAAGGAGTAAGTAGGTCTTTGTCCGGATAAGCTTCTTTTGGATCTCTTATCGAGATCTTCTTGGTTCATAATATTTTTTAAATTAAAAAGAGAGCTTTTGGTGGGAGAGGCAAGCCGCGCAAGCTAAACCCAACTCGAACCCAGCATAAAGATCTAGGAAGTACGAGTACAACCAGGTAGAAACAACCAATCTTACGTCGACGCCTCTCCCACAGCTTCCTTTTGAAACTTCGCGCTTTGTCTCTACGTATTTTCTTTATTTTTTTTGGTCACTCTTTCCTTCCCTTCCCTCTCTCTCCCTCTCTCTCTCTTTCCTTCGTCTCTAACCCTCTCCCCCCGCTTGTTCAACCCACCATTTTTTTCCCTTTCCCTTCTCTTTTCCATTCGTTCATAAATATTCGTTCTTGTTCCTGTTGATCCTCTCCCTGCTGTTTTTATTTTATTTTATTTTATTTTATTTCGCTTTTACTCAAGCGTCCTCCCACACGAGCTGTCGGGGTTCTAGAAAGTCATACCTGTTTTCCCTTTTTTTTAATTTTTTTTTTATCTCTTTGGCGCTCGGTGCACCCTACAAGTGCCGTGCTGGTACTTGTACCCATACAGGTAGACCTTAGCTGTGTACAGTAGTAGCTGTGTTCTCTTGCTTAGTTCAGCCCCGAAATAGGTCAGACAAGCCTCGTTACGCCTAACCCCCTTTGTGCACCCTAAAGAGCTTGACCTCCCGCAAACTCGACGCCTCCGGTCTCTCTCAGCCGCTCCGGCTCTCGTTCTCCAATTGTTCTTCCTGGTCTCTCTTCCACCGTCATTCTTTTCAATCAACAAGCCTCTCTTGTCGTTGCGGGGCTTCTGGGTTACCTCTTCTTCCAGCCTTCTTCACTTCTTCTCCCTATATACTGGCTGGCAATTAATACAGTACGAAGAGCACTCGTCTCCAGGGATCATTTTTTTCACCTCCATTATTTACTTATTTTTTCATCCCATTATTCTATTTTGTTCTTATTTTAATTTCTCCTTTCTGCTCAGAATAGCCCCTTGAGGCTGTCGGATCGTCGAGGCTCGAGTCCTCGATTATCAGTGCTGAGATGTTGAGCTTTAGGAGGGCAATTGTGTTGTCTGTTTTCCTATTATTTTGTATCTTCTACTTGTACCCACGAAATCCTCGGTCTCCTCACGAACCGGAACCTACACCCGGACACCAGACTTCTGAGGGTAAAGGAGTAGGTCAAGTATCAAACGGGAGGAAACCGTCAAGACCACATATCCCCAAGGAAGCTAAGCAGCAACAGCAATTATCGTTGGCCGAGATCAGAAATCTCCCTCTGACCGAGCAACTTGCCTATCAGTTCCCCTACCAGGTGTCCTCAAAATTCCCCGCGTATATCTGGCAAACATGGAAGTTTACGCCCGCGAGTCCGGATTTTGAGGAGAGATTCCGTATTACAGAAGCAAGTTGGACTGAAAAGCACCCGACATTTGTCCACGAGGTGAGCGGCGTTGTCACAATAGTTTAGTGAGTTCTGCTAACCCATACATCCCGCAGGTTATCACCGACCTTGTTGCAAAGTATCTCATTGAGCACCTGTACTCTGCGGTCCCGGATGTCCTCGAGGCTTACCGAGCTCTCCCGCTTCCCATCCTCAAAGCTGATTTTTTCCGTTACCTAATTCTCCTTGCTCGTGGCGGGATCTATTCTGATATCGACACTCTGGCCTTGCAGCCTGCACCGGATTGGATCTCGTCGAATTTCAAACTCAATCAAATCGGACTTGTCATTGGGATCGAAGCTGATCCGGATAGACCCGACTGGGCGGATTGGTATTCCCGTAGGGTGCAGTTTTGCCAATGGACAATTCAGTCAAAGCCTGGACATCCAGTCTTGAGAGAGATTGTAGCCAACATCACCATGAAGACATTGAGGAGGAAAAAGGCTGGAAAGCTCCAGGGGAACCACAATAACGTTATAGAATGGACGGGACCTGCGGTTTGGACTGACGTTATCTTTGAGTACTTCAATGACCCGAAATACTTTGATATGAGCTCGTCAAAGGGCGACATTTCGTGGCAGAATTTTACTGGAATGGAGGAACCTAAGAAAGTTGGGGATGTCGTCGTATTGCCGATTACGAGTTTCTCTCCGGGAATTGGCCATAGCGGAGCGAAAGATGAAGACCACCCCATGGCATTTGTTAAACATGAGTTTGAGGGTATTCCTTCTCCCGTAACGATCGCCCCTTGTGTAACTTCGGAGCTAATCCGACTGTCCCAGGTTCGTGGAAACCGGAATCCGAACGCGTAGTAGTTCCGGCAGAGGAAGCAGCAGGCCAACAGTGAATTACGGATTGTTTGCAACTCATCCGAAAAGCGATTGGAACAACCAGGGTTACGATTTCTACGAAAAATTTAGCGCAGGATTCGACCCTCTCTCTTATTTTCCCCGGAAGAGAGAGAGCAAAGTGGAGCCAACAGAAAAATAAAAAATTTAGCATGGTAGCATATAGACGGTGGACGGAGGGTTGTTCCTTGTTTAATTTTCCTTTTACTATTTTTCATCATGCCCTTGAGCAGTCGACCAGCTGTCTTCCCGGCGAAGATTAACATCTTGCTTGATATACCCATTTGGAGTTGGTCTCTGTGTGCCGAATACCAGTGCATTCATTTGCGGTTTTTGTTCGGGTCATCTGATGGGGTTGGGGAGAGAGAGAAAAAGGCATCAACGGATTAGCACTTATTTGTTTCAAAAGGTGTTGTTTTACTTGTTCACTTGTACAAACATTTTTTCCTAACCTCTATCCCTTCCCCTTTCCAATTGTATACATATCTCGGGGGTTTGATGGATGACTTTTCTGTTTTTTCTAATAGTATGTTGGTTTTTTTTTTTTTTTTGCTGGATTATGATATTTCCATTGCTTTCCCCCCCACCTCAGCGTCTGGGTATAATAAACCTGGATTGGCGCAGAAATGCAATTGTAGCGGATGGCATTGGCGTACCCGTTGAGTCACCCGATTCTGTAACCCACAGCTTATCAGCGCTTGATAAACCGAGTGATTACTAGTGAATATGGTTGGACGATGCCTGAAAAGTCGGCTATTGTAGCTTACAGTCTTCGTGATTTGATTGCATCAGGTCCGATACATCCATTCATCCGTTTATTCAATCCTTGTCCATCCCTGATGCTGGCCAAAATACATGCCATCTCCCATGTGAGTGCATCTATCACACATAGGAGTGTTGAGGGGACCGGCAGACGGTTCGTATCTCACTATCCCACTGCCAACCAATTGTTCGCCTATCCACCCCGCATCACCCAACTAACCGACAAACCAACTAAATGCCAATGGGGAAGAAATGAAACGGTGCATATTATAGAAAAATCCCGAAGCAAAAAAAGGGGTGGAAAAAACGAATCCCGAACCAATAGACCAATCATTTATCCCTCATCCGCCATCTTCAATTTCCTGGAGAGTAATTTATCAACCTCTAGTGTCCGCTCGTCCCACTCGGCGAAGCACTCGTTAACTCCCTCGATCCCGAGAAGGTACCACCTCTCCAGCAGGGCCGCACTGCGTCTCCTCAACTCGGCGATCTCCCGCGCCTGCGTCTGTTGCACCATCTCCGCGCGGTTGATGCGGGGGACGAGGGCGATCAGATCTGCGGATACGTTGGGATCAGGGATCGGAGTGTCACGAATCGAGGTCAATTGCGAGGAAGTAGCGTGTATGAATGGAGCGGCAGTGAGGACTGTGGATAGCCTCTCAGAGGAGGTTAGGGTTGATGGTGAGGATGAGGAGGTCGCGTAGGGGTGGATTTGTGTAGTTTTGAAGATTTCGGGGTAGTTTTTGTCTACCGGCATAGTCTGTCAATTATGGGTCGGTGTGGGATGGGGAAGGGGAAGGGGGGAGTGAGTGACTGACATAGGTCGATCATTTCCTTCATGGTGGTCGACTTCCTGCACAACTTGACCAGGTCCTGTTCTAGTGCTGCCAGCCGGGCGTGTACAGAGTTCTCTCGTCCAGCGTTTCGTAGGGCGAAGAGGTCACTGATGGGGTCTTCACTTGTGCCAGATAAGACAAACTCGATTCGGCACAAGCGGGTTTCTAGCGAGCGGACTGTTTCTTCTGCTACTTTGTCCAGGGAGTTGGCCATTCTTTCCTTTTTTCTCACCAACTCGGAGTTTGGTTTCTCTCTCTCTCTCGGGGGGGGGGGGTTTCGTGGTTAAATTGTAGGGGAAATAGGTACGATACCGGTAGGTGGTAGTAGTATCATAGTAGTAGTAGTAGCGTAATGGTAGTGGGGGAGGAGGGGAAGGGTAGGTTGGATGGATAGATAGATAGTTAGATAGACAGAACTTGTTTTTCTTTTTTTTTTTGCTTTCTCCCCCCTTTTTTCCTTTTCCCAAATGTGGGGTGGGGTGGTGGTGGAGGAGGTTGATAGGGTATGTAGTGATAATAATCCTTTTGTGCTTCGGGTCGACCGGGGAAAATAGGAAGAAGGCAAGAGAACACACTGAGATGCAGGGACCTCCAGATTAAACCCAAAGGAACAGTGGGGCGGCTTGTATGAAATTGGAGATCACCCAGCAAAAAGGTTTGGTTTCCCAACAAGGGGCCAAGTAGTTAAGCAGTAGAGAGGCATGTCCTTTGGTGGTGATTGCTGCCCCAGGTACTGTAATTTATAATGCGGAACACCTTTCGGGGGGGGGTGGAGAGGGGGATTGAGGCGGGCTTGATTGATGCTATCATAGCAAGTATGCATATTGGGGGGATGGGGAATAAAAATAGAAAGGTTTTTTTTCTTTCAATAATATTGTTGCAAAGAAAGAAACTGTTGACCTGGAGGTGGGTTTCTTGTTTTGTAAAAGGTACCACCGAGTGCGGCAGTCCCTGAGTCAGTGACGCCGCCTCAATTCTGAGTTACTGCCGTTCATCCCAAATGATTTACACTGTGCCCCTGGATGGATTACTCGGCTTGGGAGGCTCAGGGTCCATCATAAGTTATGGAAGTTATGGGCAACGCTCCGCATGTTTTTCTTCCTCCTGACCGTTTGGGAAGACTTCTTTGGCTGATTGTGCTGCTTGCTTGCTACGAATCCCTTTGCTGCTTCCTTCGGCCACTCTTTTCTTCAATTCTGCCTGCTCGGAGGACTGCTGCTGAGAGGTCTCCCGCTGCAAGCACTCTCCACCCTCTTCAACACCACCACCACCGCCACCACCCCGTCCCTTGGCTGTCTTTCTTCTCTCTTGCTCCTCCTCGTCTCCTTCTCTTTTCCCTCTCTCTCTTTTCTTTTCTTTTCCTTCGTTCCTTCCACCCCATCCATCTTCTCCTCCTTCACACCATTGATCCCTCCTATTCTAATCCCAACGAAACGAGAAGGGGTATCCATTGTCGCCAACACTCTACCCACCTTTCACTAGAGTTCTTCCCGTGAAATATATCAGGAAGAGGATACTTGCCGGGTGCTCACAAGGACACCTTACAACCATTTAGTTAATTGGTCTATTGCTCGCTGCTACGCACTAATTGCTCGGCTCATTCATTCATTCCAATCCTCCCCTCACCCATCGCCCCCTCCTCTTCCTATTCTCCCTCGCGGGCCTGCACAACAATCCCCAATTCTTGATCCCTTTTTAAGACATCACCACCAAACTACCAAACTCAAACACACAGGACAGCAAGGCCATTCGATGTATGCACCCCCGTCCGATGATGATCGACCCAGTGGTCGCCATCACTTATCCAAAGGTGCCAGTAGAGGCAGATCAGGAACGGATGCTAGCAAAAAGGGAGAAAAGGGATCTGCCCTCCGACGGAAGCCATCTGCTGCAGGTACCCGGGGACCGGTTTTGAAGCGAAGGAAGAGCTCCCCATCATGGGGTATTAAGAAAGATCTCAGCATGGTTGATCGCATTGCGGCATTTTTTGTTGAGAATCAAATAAGTATGACTATTTCCACGAAACGCATGTATTTTTTTCTTCCCATTGATGCTCTGAGCAATTGCGGCCGAGAGTCGAGAAGCGAAGGGGGAAGAAGAGTTCCTTTCAGGTTTGCTATACAGAATACTGATGGAACTGGCCACTCTAGGGTTTTCCGCAATTATCTTGGCCATTATGCACGGTTGCCATTATCTCGTCCCACAGCTTCGGCCTACAACCCGGAAGCTATTAGAAGTCTGCTACTACAACCCCGTCACAGGGAACTATGGGAAGGGCCCGGACGACGTATACCTGGTGTTCTATTGGATAGTGATGTTCACTTTTTTGCGTGCAACCGCCGTAGATTATATCTTCATGCCGTTCGCAAGACGTGGTGGGATATCAGCCAAGAAGGATCTTGTCAGATTTGCAGAGCAAGCTTGGCTTCTTGTCTATTACTCCATTTTCTGGACGCTAGGAATGGTATGTTATTTTGATGCCCCCAACATTAGAAGACTTGCCAGCTGGGGAATTGCGCCCGTTCAACCTGCTAATGTTGAGTAATCTTGTGCAGTACTTAATGTACAATAGTCCCTATTGGATGGACCTTGCTCAGATGTGGGTGGACTGGCCTGTGCGCGAGCTTGGTGGTACCTTCAAGTGGTATTACCTGGTCCAGTATGCGTTTTGGCTGCAGCAAATTTTCGTCCTAAATATTGAGGAGCGGAGAAAGGACTACCATCAGATGTTTGCGCATCATATTGTGACTTGCATGCTGATCTTTGCGAGTTACACATACCACATGACCAGAGTTGGCAACGTTATCCTTTGTGTTATGGATGTAGTTGATATTCTACTTCCGGTGAGTTCTCCTTTACAGCTCCTGCGTGGTTTCGCTTGAATCTTGGCTAAACCTTTATACAGCTTGCCAAGATGCTTAAGTACTTGGGCTATAATGCTATTTGTGATTGTGCTTTTGGGGTCTTCCTCATCACCTGGTTCATCGGCAGACATGTCTGCTATATGCGTATTGTCCACTCTTCATGGGTAGATGCACTCACCCATATCCGTGAAGGATGGTACGCCCCCAATGTGACGGAACCCGTTCTATACTCGGAGAAACCACGCCCGGGCACAAGTTTCCTATTGGGCCAATTCCTAAAGCCTATGGGAACTGTGGTTTTCACTAAGGAGATTCTTGGAACATTTGTCATTCTTCTACTCGCGCTGCAAGTGCTCACGCTCATGTGGTTCTATATGATTTTACGTGTAGCTTGGAAGGTTATTAAGGGAGGAGGAGCAGATGATACTAGGAGTGATGATGAGGACGATGGGGAGGAGGAGGAGGAGGAAGATATTGAATTTGAAGGTCCAAACCCTAAGGCTGTGGAGGCTGTTCAGATGAATGGCGCATCTATGTCGACAGCCTCATTTCCATCCGTTATCATGAATGGGGGTTCTCACCGGCATCTTTCTTCACAGCCACTAGGTGGCGGATAAAATTGATAGGGAATATGAACAAAATGATGGGAGTTTAGTCAAATTATTTGCTTTCTTGTTTTTTTTTTCCTCTTCTTTTTCTTTGTCTTTAGGGATTGTCTTTGCGGTTTTGGAATGCGGATGTAAAAGTGCGAGTGAACTTGGGGAGTGAACGAGTTTAATTTTAACCCACTGTTATTTTAGTCTCGGGGGAGGACTTTCTTTGCTTTTTGTTATTATTATTCTTTTCTTCCCATTCTAAGTCTACATCATCGTCTCTTTCTCTCACTCGCCAGTTATCGTGTTTTATTCCTTCCTTCCCACGTTTCGTTTAATACCCGGCTTGCGTTTTTGCCTTTTTCTTCACTAGGGGGACTTGCACTACATCAATCCCACTTAACTTATCGGTGCTTGATTGCTTTCATGTTTATGGTCCTTTTTTTCTACGCTTGTCCGCTCATCCAAAAAAAGTTTTCGCCTTAATTAAATGGGTTTTCTTTCACGGGAATAAATGTTTTTTTCTTCCTTCTGTTTTTCACATACCAAATCGTTATTTTACACTTCGCTTTCCAAATCAACAAAAGGTGCCCCGGATTAACCTCCTTCCTTTTCTCCGCTACTCCCTTTTTTAGACTTGTTCCCTCTTATTTTCTTGCTTTCTTCTTTCTTTTCTGTTAATGCCTATTGCTTTCGGTGGGTCTCCTTTTTGGTATTTTTGTCTTCCTTATTTGTGTTGGCAGTGCTCCCCCCTCACTATACGAGTACTTAAATTAGCAAACCTAGCCTGGCATATAGTAGTCCATACAATACTCAATTCACGGATTATAGTAAGGTCCTTCTCGTCCATTCTTTTAGACGTGCTAGTGGTATATATTGTAGGAGACATTAATTCAACCAAGCCAGGACCGCACCTTATACACTAATAGTGCGGTGTGGTAAATACTACAAGCTAGACTAGACAATAGAGAAGTGGAAGAACAGGAGGAATACGGAAGCAGACATCGGACCCGCTCGAATTGTAAGCTCCGTAGTGCCAGCTGATTCAATCCAACTTGAGCTTTGCGTGAATGAGTTGGCGCAAACATGGTATGATAGTCTACCCCTCGTTTGTTTTAATGTGCGGAAGAAGAGAGGGGGGAAAGAAGACAAAAGAAGTACTTCGTCAATCATGATGAATGGTGGCCATTAGAATTTTTATTTGTTTCTGTTTGGAGGGGATGGGTATAGTAAGGTGGTAAGAGTAGAGGAAGGAAGCAGATGTACAAATTGAAGATTGAAGACTGGACTTGGTGAGTATGATGGATGATAAGAAAAAAGGAAAGAAGTAAATTGTAGAAATGGGAAGAGAAAAGAAAAGAAAAGATTGACGCCCAAGCTCCGTTTGCACTATTCATTTAGATATCCCTACATCTATCATACCACTTCGAGTTTCGGTTCCTTTTCCCCTTCGACCAGTGTACCTATCCACCAATCCCCCCCGTCGCCAACCAACTGCATCCTAGCGATCTGGCACCCGTGATTATTATTCTGCTCCATGTTCGCTCACTTGTTCGTTCGCAGACCGGATTCCTGCCATGGTCCATCCAGCCATCTACCCGGAAAGGGAGCGGTCCAGATACTCTTGAAGAAACGGGCCATGATTAACGGTTGGTTGTGTTACGAGCCTAGTACCGCAGATCCCGGCGTGACATCGTGCGAACACAGCAGGGCACAGTAGGAAAACGGTCGGATATGTCGCCGGGTGAGTGTATCAGACTAAAACAAAAAGCCGCAAAGTCCATCCCATCCCATCCGTCGTTTTGCTGATCGAGCCTTGCGAAGAATACAGAAAACATAAAAAGATTCAGAGGAAGAAAGAAAGAAAAAAGGAGATAAGTGTTAAAAAGCGAAGGATTATTTTAAAAAAGAATTACCTCCAGAAGTCGATATAATGTTGATCCTCTTGTTCTCTCTAATTGTGTTCCATCCGTCCTTTTCTTGCATTCCCATTCACAGCCCTTCCTCCCCTTTCAGAATTCGAGACAGAAATTCCGCTTTCCAATTGCATGTGCATGCATGTACCTCCATTGTACTAGTACCTCGCCAGCGCCGGAAAGCAAAACAAATAGAAAGAAGAAAACGTAACGGGTAGAATGTGACAAAAAAGGAAGAAAAAAAAAAGACCCCGCTCCTTTCATCTTTCAATTTTACAACAGAATCAAATAGTTTGATGGTGCGATACCCGTTTCACCGTTCTGTTTCCTTGCCTGCCACCATCGCCCTGAAACGTCAGACACCTCCAGTATCTCATGCTTTGCGAATGATATCTCATTCGCATCCTCTGGATTCGCGTCGTAGGAGTAGATGGCTTTTGCTCTGTATGGATATTCTGTGGGTGCCGAAACTTCTGAATCTGGTGGTCCGCCTTGACTTTGTGGCTGAGGTGTAGCAGATGGACCGGGTGTCAGAGTCGAAACCGAAGGAGATGCGTGCCTGTTTGCCGACTGCCTGTGATCTGGACCAGCTTGACCAGGTACTGGCGAGCTCGTTTCGAATCCGTTGAGTTGTGCACTGGTGTACATCTGAGGAGCATGGTGACTGCTGGTGCTAGTGTGGGGTCTATCTCCTCCATGGTAGGCGGGCGATAGGGGGCGCGTACTCTGCGAGCGCTTTTGATCTTTGTGAAGAGCGAACGAGTCCACATACGCATGAGATGAAGCGTCAGGAGTGGATCCGAAATAGAATATCCAGATAATCTATATTCCTAAAGTAAGTGTCAAGCACAAGCAGCGCAACCAGATATACGGACCTGAACAATGGACAAAATTATATGCCCAGCACCCGCCGCCTGCATAGTACCTCTATCTGTGTAAACAAGAGTGTTCGCTGCTGAACATGTAAATACCATCCCAGCCGAAAGATAGCCCACAAGCTAAACCACCGAATAATCAGCAAAGATCCACCGTAGCTTTGAACCAAATGGCCTTACCGCAAGCTGATATTTGTGAACAGAGTCCATTAATATAACGATTATAACACCTATTATGCAGAAAAATACGTATACAATAGACCACCAGGCGAACTTAGGAAAATTGGGGATTGCTTTGTCGGCATCAGCAATTGCTTGAGACACAAATCCTACTAGCCATCCTATCTAAAAGAGCGTTAGCCACCATCGCCTCAAAAATCAGTAAACACAGGTCTCCATCCTTCTCTTTTCTCTGAATATTGGATTCCGAGTCTGCAACCATCGTCCGAAGAAGTGACAAAGGTGACCAGGACAAGAGATAGTGATGCTTACTATAGCTATCGAGATGGTAGATAGAGCGAACGGATCACCGATAATGTTTCCAAAATCGAGCCTAGATGAAGAAGTGCCATAGGGCCTGCCCCGCGACATTGATGGATCCTGCCCTTGCATTTTTCCTACGGATGGCGAATGAAGGGAAGCGTAGGATTGCATGAAAATCCTACAAAGGAGAAAGGGAAAGGGGAGCGAGGGAGTCGGCGAGCCGGGGACGAAAGAGCGAGCCGGTTGTGACCGATAAAAGGAGGCGGAAGGAGAAAAGAAAAGGTGAGGGAAGAAGGGGGGGAAGCGTGGCCTGGAACGGCGGAAGGAGAATTGGAATAGACAGGGTAGATCGTGCTTGTTGAAGATGAGGCTTTGGGGTGTCGAATAGTGCTAAAATGACGATGGGGGGTGGGTGCGTGGATAGAGGGTGTGTACAGTGCGCGGTATGTATTCAATAAAAGGCGGAACACAGGTGCGGCAGGGGGTAGTTTCACGATGAGAAGCGATTCACGCTTCTAGGATCACCGTAAGTGACCTCCGTCTCCTTCAGCCCGACACTTTTTGCGAAGTCGAGGTGTTGGTTACTGAAAGTTTCCGCTCGACGGTCGACGTTGGGGAAAGAGGTTGGGGGAAAGAGGTGTGGTTAATTTTTCCTGTGTGAGGTCGTATGTACGTACCGGGTGCTGAGTACCGTACTGTACGAGTAGAGTACTTGTACAAACTATGCAAACGGAGCGAGTGAAAGGAGGTTTTGGAGGGAGGGGGTGTGTGCGTGTGCAAAAGTGTGAGTGAGCGAATGGAGATGGTTGATCAACGGTAGAATGAAGAGCGTGCGGGCAATTCTTATGGGCAAATTACTGTTTGACAAGGGGAAAGAAAGAAAGGTGGTGAAGACTGATGATGTGCCTTTCCCTACTATAAGGTGCAATGCAGTACCCGGTGTACTGATATTGTGATTCGTGGATTCTTTCCCTCCCCGCAAACTTATTAGACTGGCAGGCTGGAGATGAGGCGGTGGGTGACAGAACATGCACCGTAGTACCGTAACTTGTATGTATAAAATTGCAAAAGAGAGAGGGGTGGAGTTGGTAGATTACCGTAAACCCTCTTCCCTGTATGTACCTGAATCTTACTGCTTATTGCCTATGGCAATTATGGTTATTACCGAGAAAGATGATGGTGGTGGTGGTGGTGGTGGTGGTGGTGATGGATGAATTGTTATTGCGGTCTATCTCCCAGCTAACAAAGGAGCAGCACTTGTTGCTTGCGTGATTAATACTTGTGATATTTGTGTGGTAGCCGTCAGTCTATCCCTCCTTTTTGATCTTGTCGCAACGCCTTCTCCAGCCTCGGGGGGGGGATGGAGGAGAGCCCAGCAATGATTCGAGTCGAAAAGAAAAATAAAACAAATAAAAAGAATTCTGAAGTCAAATTTCTGAAGAGAGGAGCGATAGAAAGTGGGAAAGAAAGAAATAAAGAAAAGGGAAGAAAAAAAATGAGAAATGAGCCTGCTCTTGCGCGCCCGGACCAGCCGTTCTCGGACTTATGCTTCCCCAAATTCCAATTCCAATTCCCAGCAAGAGTGGATGGCAGTGCCGGCTACAGTAGTTGTAGAAGGAGTGCTCCACCCCGGGATCCTATGGCCCAGAGCTTTAGTTGTCTTGCCCTAATACTATGCACACCCCAGACTGCGCCCTTCTTTTTGTATAGCCAAAAAAAGGAAAAGGAAAAGGAAAAGGAAATTTTGAAAGGGGAAAAGAGTACGAGTACAACTTATAAGTGCTGGTGTAGTAGCGAGAAAAGAAAAGAAAGAAAAGAAAAAAACAAGCACTCGCTTATCTCTCAATAATAATAGCTTGGTGAAACGTGTAGGAAACGGGGAAAAAGGGAACGAAGTTTTGCTATGGGTAAGAATCGGATTCCCAGATTTTTGGAAGACTCTCGACCCCTAACTGAGATGTGTCGCTGTGGTTACAACCAACCAGCGACGACAACACAGAAAAGTAGTTACTCTTCGCTCTTTTTATATTCAGGGGAAAGAAAAAAAAAATTTGTACCTGCGTCAAGGCCACAAATATCCGAGCATATACCGGTATGATACTAGCCCAACTCGCAAGGTAAGTAAAAAAGTATTCATCTACGCGACGAGCCAAACTTTGTCAGGCCTAAAGGAGTTACGATGTTCTTTTCTTGTCCAATCAATTTGCCGTTTCTGTAGTTTTTCCGTTGATGGCTGATACCCGCCGCCAGGGGGAAGTGGTGGTTGATAAATATAGTACTCGTACCGCACCGTGCTTGGGGGTTGACAAAAGAGTCGGGGCCACTTCCGAAAGGAGATGAAACATTTATGTAGGCTAAACCAGGTTCGGAATATTCGAGTGATAATAGGTGAGTATTTGGAGGGGACAGCAAAAAGTTGGTGCCGCTCAGAAGTGGAACTTGCTTGAGAAACACGCTGGACAAGGACTTGGTTACAGGGCCCCAAATACCCTTACGAGTACTGTACGTCCCAGTGCTAGTGCCGGTACATGTTGTGGACGAGAGAGCATCGAACACCCAACTTGGTGCAATGATCAGGGTGAGTTGCTGCACCTCCCCATATGATCTACTAACCTCCCTTATCCGAGGGCCTCTACTGCCGGCAGCTCTAGATGAACCAATAGAGTGTGAGCATTACAATGTAGATAGCAACCCAGTTACTCTTTCTATCCTTCTGAAACGCTACTGATAATAATGCTAGAAATGCGAGACGCCGGCACTGCGTCCTGTCTTCGCTACACTTACAACCTTGCCACAGATCACCCAAGCGCACTGTTCATGTGTCCAGTATCTAGAATCCTTCTTTTCGTCATACGGGAAGAATCCTCCGGCGCCTCATGTCTCTGCGAATGCTGTGTCCGTGCCTGTCAATGTCGATTTGGGGGAACAAACTTGTGTTTGTGTATTCGAGACTGAGAAGACCCGATAACAGACGCAGAAAAGATCCCATATGCAATCCAAAGTAAAGCATGGTATTGATAATAATTAGAAGGAGCATATACTGAATTTCAAAACAAGAATGGGTGGCATTGTTTGTCACCGGCGGGAGGGAATGTCTCGGAACGTGACACAGCGAAAGGAATCTATATGGTTCTGACAACACCGCGGAACGCCTAAAGCAAAAAAAACAAATGAAAGAAAATGGCATTATTAGCCATAGTGATTTATAACACAGCCGTCTGTTTTCGCAAGCCCCAATAATTAGGAGAGAATAACAATGAAAAAAAATCAGACGGTAAAGTGCCACTGGTCCTCCATGGTAGGAATGTTGGCAGGGCCAATCAATGTGCAACCACATAGAAAGTATTGAGTGTCAAGCAAGTGATCATAACAACGAATCCATATATGGCGAGTCCCATGGCTCCCCTTCGGAGCAGCCTACTTTTCCAGGTGTCTGCTCTATGATCACCCTCTTCTTCATCGCTATCTTCATCTTCTTTTAGGAGGCGGTGATTATCTGATTCTGGGTTCGATATTTTCCAGTAAAAAAGACCCGGAAGAATGCTAATCAAGCTGTCAGAAGGTTCCAGTGTATCCGGCTAATTAGGGCAGAAAACACACAAACTAATGCTCGTTGAGCCAGTGCTTCCAACATAAGCTAACACTCTCTCCAAACTGTTGACAGTCATGGCCACAAGGTATGTCCCAACGATAATTGCCGTCGTGATTAATGCAAACCTCCAGTCGCTCATCTCATGAACCCTGCCGGGGGATGGGGGTCTGGAACCAACCCTTCTTTGAAAGGGCTTCCACTTGAGTATATTATCAATACTAGCCCTACAAGGGTGTGCTTGCAAAGGGTAACTAAACATGACAAGTATAACGATAGCTGCACGGCCTATCGTAGATGTCCAAGATGAGGGATACATGGCAATAATATTCCCGCCGATATTATCGCCGTATGATAGGTACCCTGTGATAGCAACAAGGACATAAATGGAGCTTGCAGATCCAACTGACCCTAACACGACATTGAGGGTCGATTTATGGGACGCATCCTTTATTTCGTTCAATATCGAGAACATCTAAGTATTTCTGTTTAGTTGTGCCGTATTCTCAAATGGAAGGCCTGACAAGGACATAGAAGACTTTACGTTCTGGTGGCAAGTATAGGCGAAAACTATGACGGGAAAGCTACTAAGTGCTTCTATAGGCCCGGCCCAAGTTATCAAGCGAACATCACCCCTATCACCCAAGGTGTCGCCCTTCAAAAAGTGGGCGAGCACAATGATGATAAGGTATCCGATAGAAATTAATGCAACAAACGAAGTGTATTTCAAAGAGTCCAGCCGCCTGAGGAAAGAAAGTGGAATAATCACAAGCCTAGGGTCAATTCAGTTAATCGCAATAACTTACCGAAACTGTGATCGTGAGAGGCTTACATGTAACCTGTTATCCAGAAATGTCTATCGATCAGATAGTCAATGTCGCCAGCATTTTGATTAAAACCCAGGATGACCTGCGGCATAAGGTCGCCAATGATAATAAGATAAGAAATCGCCACACCTATATAGTATGAGCATGGGTAAGTAAACTAGAATGACAACAATTTCCCCTTGAGCAAGCAAACAAAGTTTCTACAGACCAAAACATTTGATGGCAATAGCGAAATCAAACACAACAGCCGCATTGGGAAAAGTCAGCTGGCTCAAAGTGAAAAAGCTGGCTGCCCCTCTATCAATATACTTGGCGCATCGAGTTTGCAGGTAGAGACCAAAGCCAGACATGAAACCGGAAAACAGAATAACGAAGACACCCAAAGTTATTCCGAACTGGGACATTGCGTGGGGCATTGCTAACACACCAGCGCCGACAACTGCCCTGGAGTAAGCCATAATTGAGGAAACAAGGACAATCAACACTGACTGGTATTCAAGAGATTGACAACACTACTACCCCACGATGCTTCACCTGCCGGGTGAGCTATCCTACCGCGACGTCGATGTCTATATCATTCCGAGTATAAAGTTAGCAGCCACAAAAGGAGCTGTAGGATAATAATGCCGACAGCATACCGTCTTCCTTCAGGAGAGCTAGTTGCCTCATCTCTATCCTCCTGGGTTATAGATTCATAGTTTGCGGACGACATATCGGCGATATTCCCTCTTATAGTAGGAGGGATGCCGATAGATGAGGGCCGTAGAAAATATGTTTAGACGCCAGCTTGAAATGAGAACTGTAAGAGTTTGATCTGTGTAGAGAAAAATGATGCCGAAAGTTGATGGAATCGGATGACGAACCAACGGGTCCTGGGGACTGAGACTCGGAAACGAGAGGCTGGCGTTGTGTAGCAGTTAAGGGGAAAGGTTGCATGGTGTCGAGAATGGCTAAGGTGACCCTTGCGGGCAAAGGGGCCGCGGTGTGTGTATTTCTGGGAACGGGGGTCGCAGGCCGGAAGGGTCGCTTTCCGAAAAAAAGAAAGGAAAAGCTTTCACAGAGGCAACAGCGGCTGATCCCCAGAGTTGGATCTCAGCAGATGTGCATCTTGGACAAGATCCAAACAGCTAGTAAATGCTTGGCAACAGCGCTAAACTTGGCTATTCATAAGGAGTAAAGTGTTCGGACTCTTGGCGCCAGAATCGACGCTATTACAGCAAAAACTAAGGAAATTAGTTATGTCCGTCACAGGATCTCTTGGCTCTAAGTTAGTCGGAGTGAGGTTTGGTGGTGAGATGCGATTGCCTGAAGTAGAGAGAAGTGCTCGTTCGGTTTTTATAGGTACTCTAAGTACCGGCAGTTCGTAGTAGTGACTATTAGAGGTGTGTTTCCAGTATGATACCCGATCATTCATAAAGTATTCGGATGCCTTGGTGTCAAAATTCCATATTTAGGTATCATACTCGTACAGGTTGATACCTTGGCGCCAGGGGATCCGAATACTTCACGAATGCTCAAGTATTACTAGTCACCATGGTGAAGAAAAAGATACCTTCACAGCGCAGCAGCTAAGTGGAGAGAAAGGATGGAAACAGTGATTGACTAGCTGAGCACTTGGTTGGCTGTATTCCAGTCCATCAGAAAGGGATAGAGGGAGGATGGCTGTCGTAGTACTAAACCCATGGTATTCTTAATAATATAGTACCAGGTCAAAACATTTCATCAGATCCAGGTTTTACCCCAAAATTAGACCTTTCAAACAGACAATTCTGCCTGCTACCTTCCTGAAATCCGTAAATGATTCTACTAGCTTGACAATTACTACCTATTTAAATTACTAGAAGCAGAAGTGCAAGGAATCAAAACTGTGTGCATTATTTACAATTGTGTTGACAGGTGTAAAAGTGACCTAAATTTTTGTATGGGACTCCATACAAAATGGTACATGGCAGCCAATACCTCATACTGCTCTGGATTGACATTTTTTCTACCCCTTTATAATTTTTAGGAATTCTGTAAAATTGTCTATATTGTCTGCAGGCTTGTTGATGCTTTGCAGAATTTTGGCCAACTCTCATACCGGTAGTCATTTGTGCTGTGCAAGAGGGTGGTGAAAGTGGCAACTTTTGGTGTAAAAAGGGCATCGGACGAAACGATTTGACCTAGTACTGTACTATACATACATTTTCATGGGGGAGGAAAATAGCGGGAACGGAGCATGTGGTGGGAGAGAGGTCGCAACTTCCTATTTATACTTGGTGATAGTAATAATATTATGATACTGCACAATATTTGGCAGACCTGTCTTACGATTTGACTGTATGATATTTCAAACTTTTTCTCACAACCCAGTCCTTGTTTTTCTTTCCCCGGAAAACCGATTCTATTTCGACTAGGGTGGGGGGTCCGATAAAACATAGAAATATTATGACAAAACAAACATGTTCCTGCTACTAAGTTACCTTAAGTTCTACTGGCATACTGTTTTTGCAAAGAATGAAATTGCCCCTCTTTTCTGGGTGAGAGGTTCAGAGGCCACACACTGATTTCGATGTTGTACTAGTACATGGAACAGCACTCGAGCCTGGTGTGCCCAGAAGACTCACTGTACCCTAACCCCGTGCCACCGTTGTTTTCCCGGTGCGCACTACCGTACCCCACCGTTCCTCCCAGCTTGGAATCTGTTCCACCCGCTCAGTGTCGGGTTTCCTGGCCAGGCCTCCACAACATGGTTTACGCAAACCTCAATCTCCATAACTTCAATCTTACTCTACATTCCCACCGGGCACAGCTAGCCTACACTGCCCTAGTTTCCGGTGCGGTTGTAGCTTCTACAATTTTTGCCTTCCAGAGGGTCAAGCAGATCTCAAGATTAAAGAGATTAAAGAGCCTTAAAGATTCGATTCCTCCTCCCTCGGAGGTGAATGTTGTATGTATACCCGTTTAGTTACCCAGTGGTGCATCATTGTCCGCAAAACTCTCTGTTTCTAACATTGTCCCTGAAAAAGCTCACGAATTTCGGCGCAGCGTCCGCCCGGTCCAGGCTCCAAGACGAATCAGATGCAGTTCTAGCAGCGAACGCTCGGCGGGGAGACTGGGACGAAGGTACGCTACTTGTATATATCTTACTCTCGGCTTCTAATCATGCCAACCTCCCCCCCTTAGATATCATCCTCGAGCAATTAGCCCGCAACAGAATATTCCTTGGTGAAGAGGGTCTGAAAAAGGTTCGCAATTCCTTTGTGATAATCGTCGGATGCGGTGGGGTTGGATCGTGGGTTGCAACAATGCTCCTTCGCTCGGGAGTGGGCAAGATTCGATTGGTTGACTTCGACCAAGTTACCCTATCGTCCCTGAACCGACACGCAGTAGCCACTCTTGCAGACGTAGGGACACCAAAGGTCCAAGCTTTGAGGAAACGATTGGAGCAGGTGGCACCCTGGGTGGAGATTGATGCACGAAACGAGTTATGGGAAATGGAGGACGGAGCTGCTCTATTAGCGGGAGAGCCAACATTTGTCGTGGATGCAATTGACAATATCCAGACGAAGGTTGACCTCCTATTCTACTGCAAAACTCATAACATTCCAGTAGTCTCCAGTATGGGCGCCGGATGCAAGTGCGACCCCACAAGGGTAGATAATCCCAAATTTAATATGCACTCTCGTGTTTACCGATCACTCACACACTCGTGTTAGATTTGCATTGGTGACATTTCAGAATCAACCGAAGATCCACTATCCCGAAGCACTCGCCGGCGTCTCCGACAGAAAGGTGTCTCCACCGGAGTCCCGGTAGTGTACTCTACTGAGAAGCCAGGACCGGGGAAAGCTTCCTTACTACCGCTTTCAGAGGATGAATTCGAAAAAGGAAAGGTTGACGAGCTAAGCGTGCTTCCAGACTTTCGAGTCAGAATTCTCCCGGTGTTGGGCACAATGCCGTCGATATTTGGTCTCTGCATTGCGAGCCACATTTTGACCGCCATTGCTGGATATCCGACAGAGTATTCCAAGGGAAAGGATCGGTCAAAGCTATATGAAGATATGATTGCTCAATTAGCTGGTCAGGAAAGCCGGTTGAGAGGAAATGCTCCTGGAATTAGAATCCCACTAAACGAGAGGGATGCTGGATACGTTGCAGATGAGGTGTTCAAAGGAAAGAGTGTTGTGTCTGGATTCTTCACGAGGTTAGTCCTTACACGCTGGGAACCATTACCTCCGAGGGATGAAGGCTTCTGGGGAGAAAACGACCATACGGTAACCACCAACGATGTGGTGCTGATGACGAAGGACGAAGCCAAAAAGCACGAAAAGGAAGTTTTGAAAGCAGGCAGGTCACCGGAGGACGTTTGGGGCCCTCATGTCGTTGGGGTGGTCGAGGAAAGGAGGAAAGAGGAAGACTTTTACTCAAAATTCAGATGAACTTCGCTTTTTAGTCTAGTGTAAAGAGCAAATGCTATCACCCTGACCTAAAATCCACGGTGCCACAAGTGATATAACCAATTCAGGAGAAGTAATACGGGGTGTCAGGAGCGGGATTTGCGAGAAAATGGGGGGGGGTATTTTGAAGAAACAAACTAAAGTCTGTTGAGTTGAAGTATATTCAAAGCAACCCAATTGTTTTTTTTGTTTCTTCTTACTTTTCTTTAAAACACCGCGTCTATCATGTCAGTACAAGCTGTAGCGGAAGGCCAACATTATGAGACTTTTAACGCGTCAAGGTTGGCCATTCAAGACTGGTCTATTGCAGACAATTTTTCGTTGCAAAATACCATGGATTGCAGAGGTATATGTTCAATATACCATGACATACCATCGGTAGGGGTGGTGGAAAGAAAGGACGTCCCCGTGCCCGGAACTTACAAGTAGGCCCCCCATCGAGCGTTTTGATGTTTTGTGTCCAAGAGATGTCTTAGAAGACGCCCCACAGGTTTTTTGTTTTTGTTTTTGTTAAATCGTAGAATCTATTTGCTTAAAGGTGCAAACCTCCACTCTAAGAGCACATCCCGGCTAAAGCATGGATCCTAGATACAAGGGCACCTCTGCAATAACTGCCCTACACCCTTGATTTAGTCCTTAGATATGTTGGTCAAAAACCTCCTCCACAGGCCTAGGGGAAAACAAGCCAGCCCAAGTCCCTCTGGTATGGGACCAACCACACATCCGCCCCCATGAAAGCTCCTTCTGCACAAAACAAAAAAAGCACAAAACAGGACCGGCAGGAGCCAACAAGAAAACCCACACCGTATTCTCTTGAGAAAAAAAACACAAAAAAAACCCAACAAAGGAAACCACCATGATAAACCACATTCACCATTTTTCAGCTGGTCCAGCCTTGGCTAGCAGCTAGGAATATAGGAGAGAACCATGATACTCTCGCTTTGTGTAATGAAGGCAGCTGACCTGGATGTGCCGGCCTCTAGTGGAGTGATTGTTTATGGCTGGTCGGATAGGGGCGTGACCGGAATCAGTGCAATACCAACCATGCGTTGCCGAGTAGCCCAGACATTGGTAAAGAAGTAAACCAGACTGAGCAAAAGAACCCAGAGGGGCAGAGGAGTATTTGCAACCTCACACAGCTTAGCCGAGGTGACCACCATGGAGAGAGGGGGAGGACAGGAACCACAAGGGATCAAAGCTCAATAACAGAGGGGGTGAAAATTTCGTTTAGCCCCACGATGAGGTTTGGTGTCCAGGCCTATGAAGCTTTCAAAGTTCAGCACTGGAGAGGGGATCATGAGGTGGTAGCATGTGGTGTTGACACCCGCCACCACCTTCCCAAACAGGAAGGTGAAAAGCGGGGTCAGGAAAATAGCGGAAGAGAAGCTTAGACGCCCCACGGGTGCCAGACCGCATACTTGTACTCTACCGTACTGGAAAAAGGGGCTTTAAAACTGCAATTTTCGTGATTTTTCTTGATTGAATTGTGATTGTATAAAGCAAAGCGGCGTTCTTTTAAAGTATGGATGAGGTCAAAGGTTTGTCTTCTTTGGGACAGAACACGTCCAAAATCCCCAAATGGTGGTCAGAGTTTCGGACACATGACCGTCTTTATTTCCTCCACCCCTACTGATGATATTCTATATTAAACATATACTCCTGTACCGTAATCCATTATTTTGAACCCTTTCTCAACCGAGGCATCTTCAAGCACAGGGTTCACTCGGACTAGAGTCACCAGATTAATTGTCTCACCTCACCGTCTAAGCCTCGGTACTCGGTATGATGCCATTATTAAGGTATGCGGCTCAAAAAATTGAAGGGGGTTGTATCGCACCCAGGAAGGAGCACGGTGCTTCTTCACCATTACTACCACCGGGGCTCTTTCAAACCTCACCGCACCAAAACGCGACTGCAGCCCCCTCGCTCGGAGCCTTCGATACCTTGCACTACGAACTGGAATGTCTGCTGCGATCAAGAAACACATGTCCCCGATATGGGCGCCAGGGATCTTCGGTATGTCAAGACACCATACACTGCGCTTTCCCGTTCTCTTCACTGAAACCTGACCTACCAACTCAACTCAAACAGAAGGCAAAGTGGTCCTCTGCACCGGTGGAGCCGTAACCCTCTCCCCCTTTATATTCCTTTCTCACTTTCTAAAAAAACCCACAGGGCTCAATTTGCTCTACGCAAGTAGCAGCACTAATCCTACTCGGCGCGAACGCCAGCATCATCGGACGGAGGAAGGACGTGACGGAAGCCAAAGCCGCAGAACTCCAAACACTCCGAAGCGGTAGCAAAGTCCTCGGTATATCCACCGACGTGCGGGACTACTCGGCACTCGTCACGACGGTGAAGCGGACGGTTGAGGAATTGGGGAGGTTGGACTATGTCATGTACGATTGTTCCCCATGGCACTTTCTTTGTCCGAAGAAGGAAACAGCAGACAGTTAACAGGGCGAATGGGATAATAGCTGTGGAGCAGCCGGCAATTTCCTGGCAACGGTTGACAACCTATCCGTCAACGCGTTCAAGTCTGTTATCGACATCGACGTTCTGGGTTCGTACAATACGGTGAAGGCATCACTGGAGGAACTCAAGAAGACCCGCGGCAAGATCATATTCGTCTCGGCCACGCTGCATTATACCGGTTCGCCGTTCCAGGCTCATGTTTCTGCGGCGAAGGCCGCCATAGACGCACTCTCGCGCGTGCTGTGCGTGGAGTTGGGACCTTATGGGATTACTAGCAATGTTTGTCCCCTTCCCCCCCACCTCGCATTGCCTTGCGGGGGGAGGAATCATTGAATTAATTAATGAGAATCTGGGGGGAATGCAGTGCATAGCTCCAGGCCCCATAGCCGGCACGGAAGGCATGGCCAGACTGTCTCGTCCAGAAGTCGCTAGTGGGGCGGAAAGGGCAATTCCTATCCAGCGGTTGGGCCATGTTCACGAGATTGCCGATGCCACGATCTACCTATTGTCGCCGGCGGGAGACTACGTTAGTGGCGATGTGATTGTTGTTGACGGCGGGGCGTGGCATAGGCAGGGCGCCTCCGCATTCCCGTACCCGGAGTCTGTCACGAGGAAGGGCGTTGTGGAAGGCGTTAAGGGGGCGAAGAAGGCGAAGGATAGCAAATTGTAGTTCCGAAAGGTGCCGGGTTGTAATGTTTCTTCCACTTTATGGCGCCCCGCTCCCCTTTTCTTTGCTTTACCCCCCTATTTTTACACGTGACACTATGATACTTCTATCCTAAGCTTGCTGTGTACTCGTACAAGCTACTGATACCAACATCTCACAGCACAACCCCCATCGGCATTGTGAGCAATGTGTTAAACATTTCGCGCACTTTTTTTTTTTTCCTTCTCGAAAGGCACCTGTTAACATCCACACCCTGTCCACATAAAACTTTCACGAGGGAAAAAAATGAAAGAAGTTGTCGTTACAAAATTGTCATTGTCGAACGATTAAAATTTTTTCTTTAATACCAACTCCTGTGAATCCAATATGAGTCACCTTCACCTTTCCCGAAACTCTTGGGAGACCAATGATTTGAGAAAAGATAAGGAAGCAAACAAAACCAGACCGTATTCGCTGGCAAGCAAAGAAATTTGTCACCTCAACTCATTTCAGTCCCACCATCGTCGTCAAACCGAGAAACATAGCATTGAAGGAGTGAGAAAACCCCCACAAACTCATTTCCCACTCCTCTAATTTTTCATTTTTCATAGCACGTCATATAAGATAGAACCTAAAACAGAAATGTATCCCAACCTCTCCCATAAGCAACGTAATAATACGCAAAGATCTTTGTTGCTCATGAATGAAATCAAAAGTTCGGTTTCCGTACCCAGCTCTACCCATCATCGTTAATCCATTAAATGGCATTAGTAGCCTGAGCTTCAGGTTGCTCCAAGTTGATGCCATTAGTCTCGCCGGCTTCCTCCTTTTTCTCCTCCTGAACGTGTTCGCCCTCCTCCTCTCCCTCAACCTTGGGGTTATCGATGGCAACTTTGACAGCGATCTCTCTGCCATCGACGATCTTTCCGTTCATCTCCTCGACGGCCTTCTTCTGCATCTCCTCGGAGGCCAAGGTAACAAAACCAAAACCACGTCCCTTACGAGGCTCGCCACGTGCTTGAAGCTTGCGAACCATGAAGCGGGGGATTGGACGGAGAGCAATTTTAGCAGATTCGGGATCATAAGGAGCAAACAATTCCTTGAGCTATAAGTGGGATAGGTGTTAGTGAATAATAGGCTAGAACGGGTCTAGTCGGGAAGGGGCTACCTTTTCCTCAGTAAGTTCATAGGGGAGGTTAGCTACCATGACCTTGGTGGAGCTTGGGACACCATTCTCTGGGGGGCCTCTCTTCTTTTTTGGCCTATACCCGCCAGTGGCGTTACCCTCACCCTCGGCAGCTGGGCTAGTGGGAACACTGGCTATAGCATTTTTAGAAGTATCAGGAGTATCCGAGTAGAGGGGAGCCTCAGTGAGAGGAAGAACTTGTCCGGGAGCATTGGTAAGTGCGGGCTTTTCTTCTTCACTGGCGGTGCCATTCTCACGGTTCGGGCGGAACTTTCACTAATGTCAGGTTGGTCTAAGATTATAAAAGGAGAAAGAAAAACTAACCCGTGGACCCCGGAATTTTCCCCTTCCACGGTGCCTGGGACTGCCCCTAGGCTTTCTTGCCCCTTCATGAGGTGCCTGCTGTTGCCCTTCCGCAGGTGCACCGTTTTCACTCTCCTTTTTGGAGGAGCCAGATGTGCCAGGCTTTCTGGCTAGTTGGACACTAACTTTGCGCTCCAAAACCTCTTTTCCACTGAGCTCCGCAATTGCACGTTCTGCCTCTTCCTTAGTGGTGACATCAACGAAGGCATAGCCAACAGCACGAGAGGTACGAGGGTTAGTGGGGATGGAAATGGATTCACTAGATGATAGTCAGCCTTGCTCAAATACATCAATCAAGCTCAACGCTACGACGAAAGAGCTAAAAGCAGCGTTCGTCATGGGGTGCATCGCAGAGGAGATATGGATACTCACATAGAAAACCCTTCGAAAAATTCTTTTAGCTGCGCCTCAGTAGTAGCGTAGGCAAGGTTCCCGATGTAAAGTCTCCTGCCTTCAGCAGCAGAAGCAGCATGAGCAGCATCTGCCTCGCTAATTTCGGTCATAGGAGCAAGAGTAGCATCATTGAGAGCATCGGTAACAGTCTCAACAGTATCAGGAGCAGCAGCAGCGACGGTCTCAGTGGCGTTGGTGGACATGTTTTTCTTTTGTGGGTGCTTGACGGTTTGAATTTTGCCTGACGATTAGATGGAGGAAAGCAAAAAGCCTCGTTTGGTAAAAAGAAAAAGATGGTGCTGTGTCCTTGAAAAAAGAGGAGTTCTGCCCGAGAAACGAAGCTTTGCGTTTGACTGTCGAAGGGGTTTGATTGCTGGCTGGAGGGCTTGGGGCTGGTTTGACTTGATAATTGCTGATGGGGAAAATTGACGGAGGACAGAAGACAAGGACACGCTGCTCGGTGGAATGTAAGATCAATTTTAAGGGGCAAAAGGCCCATGCACACGTGATCTTGCAGACGAGTCTTGGCTTGGCAATAATCCCAGAAAACGTTGCCGGGGGTGTTGACAGCAGCCATAAATTATGTTTCCGATAACGGCGTGAAAAAAAAGGACCCAAATTTTTTTCACGCCTCTAATCATCAGCCTGTTTCGACCCACCATTCCATCTCAAAACTTTCATAGTCTGCCGGCACCGTAGTTGAGTAACCGTGCAATGCTCCATCACCTATGCTACTACCCAATAATGGTAGTCTCTTGGTAAGTATGATACCTGCCGGCAATAAACCTTTTGCCGCTGCACATCTTGTCTTCAAAGACACAAAGAGAAACTGACAGAGCCCCGAGCTCAGACTCAACTGTGACTGTGCGCGGATAGATTGTTTCTACCTTCTCCTATACACCACCTCCTAGAAATTATAATAACCTATCTCAGGGATGATGATAGCACGGCGCTTGTCTGAAGCCCATTGACGGCCCTACCTTTTTCTTCTTCCCCCTTTCCTCTTTCCTATTGGTGCCATATAAGGCCTTTTTTTTTTCAGTGACTTTCACCTCTGCGTCAAACTGAGCCTGCTAATCAGCCCGTTTCTGCATGCAGTTTATTGCTCAAAACAGAGATGGAAGTCCGTGGTTAAAATCATATTTAAGTACGGACATGGCACAGTTGTCCTCCCTTTCTTTTTCTTTTCTTAGTTGCCTCTTTGCTTTTTGGGTAGTTGCTTGCGTTCTTTCCACCTTATCGCTGCGAACGGCTACTCGAGTACCTTGTTCTTGCGACAAATGCTTGGTCTCGATCTCGCCGGCCTTGCTTGGTCCTCCATTTGAGTAATTGCGATGGATAGGCTCACGCCTGAGAAGCAATAATTTGCTCGCACGGGTTATTTAGGCGTGCGATGAGAATAACCTACTACGAGCAAACTCAGTTGGGTTCAATATGTGGTTCGATCGGATGGGTTCTGTGAGCCTGGTATGATATTCCTTGAAAGTTTGAGAATCGGATGCCCGAAACCCGGAGACCTGAACCCTAACCCAGGCCACGAATTGCCAACTCGGATTTGGAAAGAAAGTTGTTGGAGAATCAGCGAAATTCCAGTCTCCTCCCAGGCAATTTATTGGATTTCATAACATACCGGTATGGTAGGCCAATAGTGTCTAACAATATTTTACACGGCGATATCCGCATCATTCTCTCTCACTCGGTCGTTCTAATTCACTCGCAGCTCTCTGAACCCAGTTCAAAAAAAAACATTCGAAGAACGCCAGAGGCCCTGCCGAAACTCTGATCATCAGTTTAATATGTAATCGGCATCCGTTCTGAGAAAGAAGTACGAAGAAATTATACTATATTGCACCGTTACTTTCGAGTATGCAGCCCAGCCCCATGCTTAGCTTTCGTTAATAGGAGCGTGCAATTTGACACCCCAAGAATACAACCACTACCCTTGCCGGGCCGTGCCTTCCTGCAATCCTTATGGTCACCACACTCGTATCTCCCGCAATGGTAATCCCTGCGCCCGTGATCTCCGTACCGATGCTGCTCCAACGGGCCAGAGGGCCATGGCCGTTGGGGTTGTACGAGTACAGCACTTGTCGACATCGCCATCCATAGTGCTCGTCGTACATCCGCTCAGAATTCCGCCTAGCCGCATGCTTGGTCCATTTGTCCTCATGCATGCTTGAACCCTTCTCCTTGATAACCTTCTCTGCCTTCCGCGGCAGCCAGACTGATAAGCATTTCCTTTGCCGTGCCGTGGGATACTTGCTCCCCTATCTTCTGTTGTTCCCATCCGCTGTCAGACATGCGCCCCCCGGGGAAATACTACGTCATGCGGTGAAGAGATAAATGCACCTTCGCGACGTTGGCAGTTCTCGAAGAGTTTGAAACCTTCGAATGAGGCGGCCCCAGAAATCATTTCGTGACATAGATTGTCCTGTTCATTCGTCTTTAGATGAACATCCATTCATTCCTCGTTAGATGAACATCCATAGGGGTGAATCGAATATAGATGAAAAAAATAAAAAAATAAAAAAACCTCTCGGCTCCCCTAACCATCCCGATAAAGTTGTATCCAAGCGTCATGTGGATCTCCTATTGGAGGCTCATATGTCGGCGCTTGCAATCCAAAAATCCAATAGATACCGGTAGGTTAACTGCGGGAAAGCAAAGTTTGTATCATATATAACAGTACCCCAGTCAAACACCATGAACCGAGATCTTTATTTTTGGACGGGCACAGTAATGTACAAGTACAGGTTTGCTGTGCGACTTTTTGGAAGAAAGTAATATCATTCCCGCCAGCTCAATGGCACCCCCAGACAATTTGTACCAAAATTCCGCAGGGGCGTAAACATGTGATACCCCCAGGGAGCCAAGTACAGATTGCATGTATCGTAAATGACGATTCGCTCCATCATTTAGTCTAGCACCGGGACACGATCGACCTGTTGCAAACCTTTACCACATTCCCGGGACCCAAGTCTGGGTGAGGGAGGGGGAACCTTGCTGAGAAAGCTTGTGCTCATGGTTCCTAACCGAGATCACGCGAGGAGAGCTAGACTGCGCGGGTGGTGGTGGGGCTTTTCTGGATTGTCTGTATTCACTCTGGGTCTCCATAAACCCTCCAGCATCAATGCCACGGGGGGGGGGGTAGTTTCATGCTCTGCCGGTAGTGTGAAGCCCGACTGCGAGGGATGCAGCAGAGGTGATAGGCGCCAGATTTTGCGGTAGGACGGTGAGATGCAGGAACCCGAAACTCACAAGGGTTTCCCGGATGGAAGTGCCATAAAGGAAATATTGGAATGAAAAGGTGCTATAATAGCAATTTTGGGCATAAATATTTACATGAGTCTTCAGGAACATCAATATGCGATATCCTGAAAAATAACATCGAATCGCGTTGCCCGATATAAATCATATCAAATCACTCGATCAGCACGATTCAGCAGTACCGTTTGAACGGTGAGGTACGGTACAGTATCGTACAATATTCCTTCGTGGGATGTTTTTGTCTCTGACCAGGAGAGCCCAGGCCTGATCTGAGATGGTGGATTTAAGAGTACAGTTTTGCAGATGAAGAGATCAACACTCGAGTGCTCGAGTACCGGAAGATGATTTCCTCATAAAAAGACACTCTCCAGGTTCCTGTTGAGCAATGGAAGGCTTGTGTTTTCGGATGAGCCTGTTGCAGCATACGGTACCACATGTTTCGACCAAAATCAACACCAACACCCATGCTCCGACAAGTACTACTAGTACAGTGCCACTCTTTTATTCCCGACCCTTGACTTGCACCTAACATCAAAATTTAAGGTGGAAGTGCAGTTTTCCGGTATTTTATCTCCCTCGTCATCTAATTTACCGGTACTATAACGTACCGTATTATTCGAACATTGATTAGTGGGCCAATAAGCTTAACCGTCTCGGCCGAGAGAGATTGCGGGGGGGGTTGTTTCCCGTTGTGCCGGGGCATCCGTTGCTGGACGTTGAAGAAGGTGGTGGCTCCGTAGGAACTACCATATTGCGATTCCTAGAACACTTGAGCGACCGAACGAGCTCGCAGAAAAAAACTAAAAACTTGAGTGCCCCAGACAGTTCGAGCTATGGTAAAAAGAAAACGGAAGCCAACAAGAGTCTTTTTTGCTTGATTTATTGACGATCAAAACGCTTCGTGAAGCTGCACGAGAGTGATTTGGGAGCTCTCTAAGACACTCGAGCTTTTTTTTTAGTTTTTTTCTTCCGAGTTCGTTCAGTTTCTCAAGTGTTCCGGAAATCCCAGTAATCATTGGAAACCTGGTTCTCTATTGAAAGTAATCGGGAAGCGGTATGGATAGGATCGGTGTTGTTATCCATCCGAGTCCAGGAGTTGTCGGGGTTTGCAATGGGGGCAGTAAGCTGAAAGTGTCCAAGGGCTAGGGTACCAGAGCCTCTGCGCTGTAAAGTGCGACATGACAGGGTATGTGAGTTTACTTCATAAAGCTCCTATCATACAGTAGCACGCGTGGTTCAAGATTCCCCGGTCAAGAGTGTGTTGTAATACGGTATGATGCGGTGGTCTAATCAGAGCTCGAAGCGTTCTCATCGCAGGTATGATATTCGAGGTTTACTGTACAGTGGGAATATTTGGATCTATCGATCTGCTACACTCTAGTAGTGTCCTATTTGTAGATGGTTCGCCTCACTGTACCAACATTCTGTGCGGGCGAACGGCCCCCACCGGTATCCCTGTTTTTGCACCATGACTACTCGAGTACTCACGCGGCCGAATTGAAGCCGGACACCCGCATATAGTAGTGATCGGCGAGCCAATAAACGGGTAGATTTGGGCATAGGTTGGGGCATATTATTAAGCGTCAAGTTCGGTATATCAAAATTTAGCACACAAGGCATAGTGATCTTGAATGAGGTAACTTTTCAAAAAATAATAGGGGGGGTTATCAATGAGAAAAGGTATGATCACACAATAGAACAGGTGAGAAAAGAAGATCTTAGTTCTGCACACTTCTAACTAATGAGTGGAAAAGATAGGAGATATGTATATTTCAGAATTGAAGATATTGTCCAATGACCTTGTCCTTCTACTGATAACTCTATACATCTATTCTAATCGATTTCCAAGCACATTTCCTGCTCTGTTTCCGTCAGACTCGAGCATTAACAAAAGAAAGACATGCTCCCCAATAAGCTCCTGCTTCCTCCTAGCCTATACGCAACCTCTGCTTCCTCCCAAGAGACTCTTTAAGTCCTCCCAATCGCCTTCCTCTCTTTCTTCCAATAGCTCTCATGCCTGTGACTATTTCTCTAGACAAGCGATGAAACAACAACAGGAGATGACAGGCGATAAGGATGGATATCAATAATGGATAATGATAGTGTGCGAGTGGATGATAGTCTGTGAATAGACGATTGTATGCGAATAGTCAATAATATTTAAATAG